TTATAGAATCCAAAACTAATAAGGAAGTTAAATCAGATCAGAAAACTGAATTTTTCTTAAACCTATAAGGAAGTTAAACCAGATTAGGAAACTGAATTTTCCCTAAAATTCAGTACTCTTGAAGTTTTCATATAATTAAATCTTCCTAAAAATAATTACCTAATCAGACTCCACAAAACCACAACAGGATGGACGCCTCCCCACCCGGGTCAGGTAAGTTACTTAGTATGGTAGCGAAGGCATGGTCACAAGTAGTCGTAAGTTCCTAGTGGGAATCGAACTCCAAACCTAATGCTAGGAAGGCACCAAAGCCCAAGTTGAAAAAACTTCCTTCACCATCTTCTCAAACTTTTGGGGCTAGTTTGGTTCAGTTTTGAAGATTATTTCTATTAAAAATAAAAAATAAAAAATAAAAATCTTTCTTTTTGGTTGGCAATTTCGAAAACTATTTTTTATAAATTCAATTAAAAAAATTGTTTGTTTTCATAGAATTTTCTTTTATAAAGCTCTAAAAATAGTTTTCTAAGTTCTTGATAAATGTTTCAAAATTAAAACAAACATAACCTTAATTCTTCATTCAAGGATTGAAAAATAAGGGTTACATCTTTCTTGTAACCTTATTGCCTTCCTTTGACTTGAATCAAAGAGGGTTCATCTTGTAGCTCTTCTAATTATTCTCATAATCTTTTGTGAGAAATATGTAATTTTTGTGTTTGTAAATTTCATGTCCAAAACAAGTTCGATCGAATTGTATTTTTTTCACTTTAAATTGAGTCTTGATCTCGAAAGCTGGAAATTTTTGTGGGAAATTAACTTTCCAAAACCACCCAACTTTCTCACAAAATTTTCCTACATGGAGGATAGGAAATGTTTTCTTTCTTGATAAAACTATATGAAATTCCAATTATACCCCATTTTTCACTTTCTAAAATAGATTATGTTTGTGCATTATTTTTAGTAAGAATATTATAATAGTTGTCTCTCTCCATGTATTTTACAAAATTTTATTATTTAGATTCTTATATTACATTTATTATTTAAAAAATAAAAAAGTGTATTAAATATAAATTTATTTAGACCTATTGTCATATTTTATAATAAAAAAAATAGACAATTTAGGTAAATCCTAATATCTTCTATTAACTTTCATGCTATCCAAACTATGAACTAAGTTTTTCCACAAATTTCTTGAAAACATTTTATGCTAACCAAATGAATCCAAGAAAGTTTATTTATTTTTCTTTCACTTTCCAGCATTAATTTTCATCTGACTTTCACTTTTCAGCATTGATTTTCATCTAACTTTCACCTTCCTGCAATGATTTTCAGTTAATCAACGGACACTTATATAGAGGCATCACACAAGAAAGTTCTTTTTTCACCCTAATAAAAACTTCCAAACTATATTTTGTACCACTGTTGACTTACATTGCATTTGATATTTCTAAACTAAATACTTTTCTAAATAAAAGAAAACCTAAAATTATATATAAGTAACTGTAAACAAGAGATTGAGTTAAATTTTAAACCATAACAATGAGCTACAAAATGAAACACACATAATGGTGCAAATACACCATTAACTTTGATCCAAAATAAATAATTTCATTTTGATACAAAATCAAATATACTCATGAAATCATCAATTTTTGTGGGACATTTAGATACACCATTAACTTATTATGATATTTATGTTATATAGGGTCAATTGCACAAAACCCGCCTGTAATATAGGTTTTGTACACAAATAGTTCCTACTTTTTGAAAATATGCATTTCAGTCCATAAAATTCAAAAAATGTGCAAATAAGTCCCTCTGACCACTTTTTGATCAAAATTGACATAAAATAAATTTTAAAACCCTAATTTACCCTTCTCTTCCTATTATGCCCTTTTCTAAGGGACTCTCGCCTGCCACATTACTGCCACAACAATTGGTGGTGATGGATCTACCACCATATATATATAGTCACCGCACTCAAAAACCACCACCACCCCCACATCTAAAGCCGCCGCCACCACCCCCAAACCCAATAAAATAATAATAATAATAATAAAGCAACCATGAGCTTCACGCGCGGCGAAAACAGAGCTTGAGAATAAAAGGTGAGGCAAACAAGGCTTATGCCTAGCTGATTGAAATCATTTGTACGACGGGAGTCACCATGGACAAAGATGCCAACGAAGATAATGGCAATGATGGAGATGTTGACGTTGATGGTGGAGATGTAGGAAACGACGACGTTGAGGCAACGATGATGGATTGGATTTTGGGAGCGAAGAGGGACCAAAACAAGTACATGGTCGTAGCCTATGCCGAATAGCAAAGCCCTAATGGCGTTGAGGATGTGAGTAGAAGAAGAAGGAGGGGGGAAGTGGGGGAGGTGGAGGGAAATTAGGGTTTTGATGGAATGGGGTGGAGGAGGATGTGGTGGTGGTGAGGAAAATTTGGGTTTTGCAAGAGTGGAAGAGGCAATCGAGTCTGTATTCCCAAAATTATGGTTTTGCAGGGTCACGATAGAGAGAGAAAGTTTGGGAATCTTCTAAAATAGTAATTTTATCTTGCATTAGTTTTTAAATTTTTTTTAATTTTACTAATAAGAGGGTATTATAGTATTTTTATGCCATTAGGGGGTATTTGCACCAAATTAATAGTATAGGGGAGTTTTATACTACATAGAAACTTTTATATCTATAGTATAGGAGAGTTTTTTGCACTTAACCCTTATGTATCATGTATACTAACTCTCTCAATTATTGTCTTAAATTTGCACTCTTAAACAGCCTGCATGTCACAAGAACCCATGGAGTGGTGTATGTCAAAATTAATGCAATTAAGATCGTTAAATTAATTTAATATTTTTTATTTTGATTCAAAAGAACATCAAATTTAAAATTGTTGAAGGCAGCACAGTTTTAGTCAACAAATTCAAATGATTAAAATAATAATTAGCAAACCAGGGTTTGGACTTTGAGGTGATGGGATGAACCCAAGGAAGGTCAAGACTTGAGATCTGTTTGTTGAAATTGCAATGTATTGGGGAGGAGAGAGAGGGAGAGGGGCTTCTATTCTGGTGTTTTCAAGGATTGTGTCACAAGCAATCCCTTAATCCATGCTATAATGTGCTCATCTCCATGTGGGTGCATTCTATTCAATACATATAATAGCCACAATATACGCAAATTCAACACATACATACACATATATATATATATATATACACACACACACATATATTTATATATGCAAGTTTTGAGCTTCTCTATTCTCGAATTTTGGGTGCTTGTTTGTTGCTCATTCAACAGAATATCTGGTTGTCAGCTTCTTTAACTCTCTAACCTTGAAATCTGGAATTGACTCAAGGATCTATTACGCAAATTACACAAGTTTCCTCCATATCATCTCGTGATATTTTACTTTTACGGCCGAGAAGGTTGACAAATTGAGAGATGGACCGGGAGAGGCCGGAGGGTTCATTCAACAAATAATTATATAAAACTTGGCAGTATCTAGTAATTTTCAGTGCTAATAAAAAGTGATTATTTTATCTTGTTCCGTTAAGATTGTAAAATGATAAAATTAATTTTATTTTTTATTTAAAAGCGGAAAAGATATATACAGAGATATTTTAGTCATATGGAGAGTAAGCAGTGTTCCTTTTCCATTAGTGTGGCAAACTAACAAGTAAAGTGTAACTCGACGATTTTTTTAAATGTTAAGGAGTTTCATGAGGTTTAAATTGTTTAATTAGTACAAGGAGGTTATATTCATAAATTTCATAATACAGAGAGATTTTATTATTTTAAAAAAATGTTGAAATTTAATTAGGAAACAAAAATTACATAATTATATATTATATTTTAAAAATGTGAATGTAATTTTTAGCAACATTTATCATGGTATCACCAAACATGTACAAAGTGAAATTAATGATATAAACCAGTGGATGTGACTTGTAGCTTATCATCACTAGCGCAGTTTTAACGGCCAAGCCAAGTTAACCAACCTCTTGGAGTCTACCGTCTGGTGAAAATGTCTTGTACAGTCAAAAAAAATGAGTATATTTAATGTATAGAAGACGCCGAGATGGTGCTACATATGATTATGATATAATGTCTATACATATATATATATTTATATACACAAGCATATTTGGATAGTTTTGTATGCATATATGTGTTTGTGTGTGTGCATGTTTTACATATAGATAAATAAAAAATAAACTCACATTCATCTAGTGGGAAAAAAAAAATAAAAAAAGGCTCACATTCTTTGTAATTAAGAAAAAGAGAATTATATATATATATATATATATCTTTTGTGCAAATAATGCATATAGGTAATTATCAGGAGTCTTTTGAAAGCTATTGCAGACTCATTATTGTATAGCCACAAAGAAACTTTAACAGGATTTAAACCCCAAATCTTAGACTTGCTAAGTTCCAAAATCTAATGAACAAACAGCTGGACCATATCCGGGTCCGAAGTGGATTAGTCGCGTTGTTAAGGGACCTTAAAAGTTCGTGCCAACCCAAACACCCCGAATTAACTGAAAAAATAAAAAATAAAAAGAAAAGAAATAAATGGACACAATGCATTGATCCATTAGTCTAATTATCATTACCTATGGGCCCTCCTTGTTTAGGAACCCAAACCTGAGTGACCTTCGAGCCAACGGCAAGAGAGAGTTGCGTTTCTTAGTCTCCAAAACTCACCAAAATCTGTTATTTCAGGATAACTATATCAAATGACATATCACATGATTTAGCCGAGAGATCTAGAGGCTGATTTCTGAATTGAGTCAACTGAACTTCATAAATTAATGGGTGTCAAAAAAAAAAATACTCACGTTATCGAATGACAAAAAATTAGGGTTTTCATTTATGATGACAACTGGTAGAGAGAATGCGCAACAAAGATAGCTCATCTCCTTTTCTATCATCATCATTTCCATTTTAATTGGAAGAGAAAACATAGTCAAGTTCTCACAAGGAACATCCTGATAAAATTATATACATTAGACAAAAGCAACCGAAAATTTGTTTACTTTTTAACAAATATACTACAAATTTATACAGCTTTCGTAAATCAGCTCCCAAATATCCCTCAGCATTCGCCAAAAAAATTATACAAAAGTTGGAGGCTATTTGTTCCTCGGATGTTAAATGATTTCTTTTTCAAAATCACATTTACATTTGTGGCAAATTGTGTACGGTCCTCTTCCTTTGTGTACATACGCATCTCCCCTGTACCAAAAAAGAATTTGGGGGCAGTCTTGATCACTTAAATACCTTGTGCAGGTTCCATCCGGGCAGATCAAAAATTTGGACATGGATAACAGAATCGCCAATTTATCAGCCACTTGCCAAGTCATCTTCATTGTCTTCACTGTCATCACTGCATCCACAAATCAAACAAATGGCCTAAGCAACTAGCAAATGGAAGCACTCACAAAGCAATGCAAATATATTGATACAAATGAACACAAAAGCAAGATTTAAGAAAACAAACTGTGCACCCCAATATCTCAAAAGCTCCTTGTAGTCGAAAGAAAAAATTGTTAAAACCAAATATATCAGAATTTTGAATTCGGTCCAAAGAACAAGCATACACTTGGGACCAAAGATATTGTCTTGCACCATCAATGAGAATTTAATGCAACAAAAAAGGCCAAGCAATCCTATCTGTCATCTTTTAGCTAATCATAAACTGAATTGATACTTCTATACCTATCTATCAATATTGCCACCGCACTCCCTGGGAGGTGACAGTTGAGTATCACAACAGGAGCATCCATATAATAATATTTACTTGAGTTGTTAAAGGCACGCCTAGGCTCCAAAAAAGGTCTCACCCTCGTCACCTTCAACCACATACAGGCCAGTCCATCACAAGGCTCACGCAAACCCTTAGGCTCATGCTTTTTAGTAAGGCACAATGTTCAAAAAAAACACACCTCATTTTTTAATCAATCAATGGGTTAACTGCAACAAAAAAAATCCCTTCAGGATTCAGTGTAGCACATGAAACATCCAGGTAGTACGAAATGGGTATACAAGATCCTTATACTTTAACCAAAGGACCAAGTGGCCCAACGGTACCAAGGCCCAGCTTTCCAAAGGGAGGTACCTGGATTCGAGCCTCAGTGGAGACGTGTGTGAGTTTGCTTTACCTTGGAAAAAAAACATCTTTATACTTTTTATGTATATATATATATATATATATATATATATATATTACACATTGCACCCCCTCCCTAAGTCACATAAAGCAGGAGCGTGAGAGCGGTAGAATTAAGTCATAAGCAGTGAGAATTTGAGCAAGAATGCGAGTGGAGCATGAGAGCGAGAGCACGCTCTGAGCGGGAGCATGCTCTGAGCGTGAGAGTGATACCTGTCAAGAAGGATTATATGACTTAGCCCCCTCCGTCAATGTGCAGTTAGAATATAGCCGTTAAAAGGATTATGCGCCAATAACGTGACAGATTTCCTCCATAGTTTCAAAATCACCATTCAATGTGTTAAAACTGCTTCTCCCACATAATTATACACACATATATCACTTGCGTGCGTCTCACTCTTTACTATTTCTCTCTTAAATTGTGCTCTCTTTCTCTCTCTAAAACTGCTTTCTCTCACACACAAGTTTCTCTCTCTCACATCAGTTTCTCTTTTCTAGTTTCATCACTGAACTGAACAATGACTGGTATGAGCATTTGACCAAAATGAAAATTGAAGAGTAAGATTCCAGGATTTTCATAAACAATTGAATTTTAAATCTTCAAGAGTAAATTTAGTCACATATGACATATATATGCAATCGGCAAATTGATTTTCATGAGTGAATTGTGCTTCCTATGCTATCAGCAAAATGATTTCATTCTTCCAATCTCAGTGAAACATGTACCTTAATGTATTGTTGCAGGACAATTGTAGTTGGATCTGAATGTAAATGCAATATTTACATGCACCTATAAAACTGAAATTGATAACATAAAAGTTAAGTGTTTCCAAACTCAAAAATTATATCGGCAATTTGCCTAGCACTGAGACGATGGCCTTTTGCTTCAGAAGCTACCTCCCGGCAGGTACCCCACGGCAACACCGTTGCCGACTCCAACACTAACCTCCCCAATCCTAAATTCCGTTCGATCCCAAACAAGTATGATCTCTTCAACAAGAATTCACTCCCGTTGATCCTCAGATTGGTTTGGAAATAAATTCATCAAGTCTGTGGTGTCACATTCCAACCGAGCTTCAGTCAACGACTCAAGAATGGCACCATCGGCGATCACGTCGTCGAGATTTGACCGTATTCTGGCAGCCATCACTGGAATAAAAGGAGATTCCAGTCAACACACTTCTTGATGACGGACTCATCAAGCCCATATGGGGAGATCAAATTGAAGCCGTCGGTCGGATTGATTTGTGGATGACAACATTTTAAGGTTCATAGCCATTATATATATATATATATATATTTTTTAATAAGGTTCATAGACGTTCCTCTTTTGTCATGTCATTTTCCAATTTTTTATTTTTCATTTTTATTAAAGCATTAGGGCATTTTTGTCATTTTACACATCCATTAACGACACAATAACAAGCCCTTAGTTGCATTTTTCAGGCTAGGAGGGTGTTTTCGGACTACAGGGATGTGATATGCACTATATTGAATATCAAGGGGTGTTTTTTGCACTTTATTTAGTAATTTTGACAAGGGAGTTTTCTGCACTTAACCCATCAATCATTCATGTCATTCTTTGTTTTTATATGAACATGAATCTGTTTACTGTGGTCATATTTGATGGATCACATTGTGTAATCTTACGTATGTCTGACAGAATTCACGAGCTTGTGTGACTACTTACATTAAATGTGTCCCGTGCTCAACTTTTGATTTTCATCATAATATAATACCTTTTAAAATTACTCCCTCCGTCCCAAAAATCTTGTCCATCTGTCTATTTTGGGACTGTCCTAAAATACATGTCCCGTTTCAAAATTGGATGTACTTTTTTTAAATATCATTCCCAAACTATCCTTTTGACGTTGACTAGTGCACTGATTACGACATACTCTCGTCTTTTAATAAGGATAAATTTGAAAATTCACTCTTATCAACACAATAAAAAAAATATTAAAACCCCACTACCATAAAAAGTTGGATTCCCCAAACACCCCAAGAATTTTGGGACAAAGGGAGTACATGATTAGCGTGTTTTATTGTTGCACAATTATAACAAATGGTTATGGTTGATTTCATTGTTAAGTTCATTATGCAATGTGAGGCATATGCTTAGAATGATCATTGACCCATGTTATGTGTGTCAATGCATACACCTTGTTATATTAAATTAGGAATCTATTTCTTGTGACATGAACTTTATTTTTTGAACAAAATTTACCAGTTGAAAGCCCTTGGTAAAGTCCATTTGAGGTCTTTTATCACTTATTTGGCATCATGAGTGATAAAGTTATTTTGGGAAAAGAAATGATTTACTTTTGGAATATACATGTCTAAGACGGATAATTCTGAAAAAGAAGGGGTTATATCCGGGCCTCCTCTTTGCCCTGTGTCTAAAATGCAGGATCTAGATATGAGTAAAATAACAGAATATATGGGCTTCTCATTCAGATCTGTCCCACATGCTGAATTAGGATATCTTGTTAACTCATGATTTTATTGGAACATTTGACCTGCCATATAGTATCTCATCCTGTTTGACTTTTTTATCCACCTGCCAAATGGGGCCTAATAGTTCTTATTATCATATCCAAAATAAATGAGTCTGGAAAATTTTCCTTCAGTTCTAATCGACTTTATATATATATATATATATATATATATATATATATAACTTTCAAATAAAGATTTTAACACTGACCATTCTTAACAATTTGGAAGTAACAATCAAAACGGGTATGCATCGTTTGAACTGAATGTATTGCATATACAAAAAGAGATAAGAGTGATATGTAAAATTTCTCTATTGATTGGAACATGCTGTATATGATCTGTCTTGCATTATATATTGTTGACAGTTATAGTAGAAACAATAAAATATCAAAAAGCATAAGAATGAACCAGCAAAACTGAGGATAAAGAAATGCTTGATGACAAACCTTTGTTCAGGAAATTTTGAAATTCGTCTAGCATCCAGCCCTGTGATGAACTTTTGTGCAGCTAGAACATTTTCACTACCTTTAAAGCAATAACAGAAACATTTAAATTGTCGATTATCCCCAAGTTTTTAACTCAAAGGACCACAAAATAATATTATTAATAACTAAATAAATATCATTAGAATTCCAAATAACACATGTAGATTAATGTGGACGATGAAATAAAGGAGAGGTGACAAAGGAAAATTGCGGCTTTGAAATCAAGTACCCTTTGTCAATTGGAAGGTGTGCAGGGCACATCTTTCTGCAGCTAGTCTCACAGGGGTATTTCCATCCTTTAAACATTCAGCAAGTGCAGGGCCGAATACTGTAGCATGGATTGCAATGGCCATAGGATTAGCCTGCCAACATTTTTTCACCATTTTAGTTACCTTGAAAACCTTTAATGAGAATTGAGATTCGAAAAATACAAAGGTGCTAATGGTCGAATATATACTTTTGCAACAGTTTTCAATGCTGACAATGCCCTTCTTCTGACTTCACTGGAGTCATCCTGCATAGCTGACACCATGGATGCAAGAATTTCTAGGTGTGAAGTAGTGTTTAAAGGATCACTCTGAGTTAGATGAAGTAGAAGCCTTCCCAATGCCTTTGTTGATGTTTCACGAATGGGAAACTATAAGAGAAAGAATGTGTCAGAAATCAGTCCAAAGTAGAACAGTGAAACGTAAACCTCGAGGAATATATTACCTTCTCATCTTCTAACGTATGTTTAAGGCAGTCTGCAATATTTGGGAACATTGGAGACATGCGACTCGAGGAAGTATTTTGCCTTAGTATGAATGAGATTGCAAGTACTGAGCCATGCCTAGTGTGCCAGCTAGGAGATGAGGCCGAATTCAAGAGTTCCTCTAGCAGGTCAGAAAGCTGACCATCTTCCATGTACTGCAATATTATTGTTGGAAAATTAGGTTGGTAAAATTAATGCCAAATCACAACTCTAATTGAAGAGAGAAGCAAACAGGAAATCAATCTCAGATATAAACTGAAAGCAACATGTCGTACAAATGAGATAAATCTAATAATCTAAACAACAAGCCTTTCTGTTAACAACTAATTCACTAGCAACAGTTGAGAATACAACACACTTCAGATCTCTAGAGTTTATAACTTTACCGAAGTCGAATAATTTGACGAAGTTCTCAGCACTTATTGTTAAACTAGATATTACATACAAACATACTTGAGGAAAATGAAGGGAGATCAATTGTATATCTACACCAACCTGCGATATAATGCCCAACATGCTTGCGGCAGAACTTCGTATTTGGTCATCATCATCATAAATAAACTCCTTGAGGAGAGCATAGACTCGGGTTCTAACAGCAGCACTCACACTCTTCCCAGCATGCTTGAGGACACCTTTTAAAGCAGTCAAAATGGCCTCCCGGACACCACCATCCGATGCCTAAAAAATCATTATTTAGAAGTGTTACATTATTTTATTAACAATCAAATGGCAACCAGAAAACAAAATAACAAGCATCACCTGCAAACTGGTTAGAAGATCGCCAACTAAAGGATCAACTCTAGTACTGAGTGCACTAAGCTTCCCAAGTGCGAGGGCAGCGCTTGAACGCACAGTCCTGTATTAATGGGCTCTCACATAAGCATGAGATTAGGAGCATGCAAGCTATATGATATTAATATTACATGACAACAACAAAAGTTTTTAAGAGTACTATAAGATTCATATAAGAACTACAATGTTTGAAGATGTCAATACTTCGTATAATTAGGGTTGCAAATGAAACAGCTCAGGATTGACACTGTGTAAAGCTCGGTCCGAACTCATTCATTAAGTAAACGGCCAAAGCTCAAACTTGATTTTTCAGCTGATTTAGAAAAAGGAACCGATCCTGAACATAGTTAGGTTTGGCTCGTGTATGTGTTCATTGAACATGAGCAAGTGAACACGGTCATAAATATAATGTAGGCTTGTGAACACGGGGCTTGTGTAGGACGTGTATGTTCATGAAGGAGCCAAAGTAATCTCAAGCACGAGCACAAACGCGATAAGTTCATGAACAAGCTAAAGTTAATCTTGCGGACGAGCTCGAACGGAGCCCAAACATGAATATGATATCGAGGTTGGTTGCTTTTAATAAATGTAGCTGAGCAAAACTGAACCCAAACTTAGTAATGATGAGCTGAGCCCGAGTTCAGCTTTTTGAGCTTGTCACCATCTCGGGCCAAGCCCGAGCTGAATCCACAAATGAACGAACCAAGCCTAAACAGACTGAAGCTCAGGTTGGCTGTCGTCTCAGTTCATTTGCAGCCCTACATATAATTGGGGAACAAAAAAAACATAAACAATGATATTCTGAACAAACCTTGTGTTATCCTGTAGGCACTTGATAAACGTTGTTTGAAGCTGTGGGAGAAAAGGTTTAAGGGCTATACCGCCCTTTCTTATTATGATGCACAAAGTTGACAGAATGGCACTCTTCACTTGCCAAGGGAACCGATCACCTATAATTCGAATCAGAGGCCTGAAAGCACGCAGCACATAATGACAAAAGTTACAATGGAAAAGTTTAAAAAACACATTCCAACATTTAAAGAGAATATAGTGAAGGAAAATATATAAACTGGCCGATTGTTTTTTGTTACCGACTAATGCGGCAATCATTGAGATAAACACCCTAAGAGGAGAGAGATTCTATTCTTATCTAATACTGACAAGAGTCCTTGTTGGACACTACTAATTGGATTCGCACAAAAAAACCACTGGTTGTTTAGTGAATAGTATTATTCTGATTGCAGCAATCTTCAGTGACTATGGGTTGACAGAATATCTTACAGCATTTGAAGCCACAAAGGAAAAATTAGAGGATAATTCCAGACACCGGTCACAGACTATATTTACACTCCTATCTGGAATTATAAAATTTAAAAATAATTTAACAAAATGTCTGAAAAGGAATTTATGTTTTACGGTCAACTGGTTTTGGGCCTTGTACAATTATATAATTATCAATCTTGAAAATTGTTCAATGTCGTCGGATCATAGCACAATGCTAGCCTCGCTGTGCCAGTTTACTGCATCCCATAGCCATTATTTAGTGTGACATACTATGTTAGTGAAGATTGATGATCATACTGAAGATGGCAAGGGGTTTTACTACCATTAAAAGTAAAAATATGAAAGCTGATAGTTTTATTCTTATAAAATTGATTATGAAAATTTAAACAAATATCATGTCCCAGATCCCAAAAGGGAAAGGGCAAAAAAGGCCCTACTATTTTGCCAGGCCAGTATAGATATATATGGGATGGAAGGAAAAGCAAAAGTGCAGTTTAACTGGTTGGGCAGTAAAGAAAAGTAATAACTACCAGAGGCAGCACATCTAATCAATAAGATCAGAACATAAATGAATTAAACAATGATTCTTAATACTGAAATTAAAACTCACCCTTTTACGCTTCAACTTTCTAAGCATCTAACGAACAACTAATGATTCATGGTACATACCCTGTAATTGGGATAACAAACTCCTTTAGCGTTTGTTCGCTTGTAACTTCAATCAACTCCCCAAGACCCTGAGCTGCCTGCTCTCTTAGTTCTGCTGACCCACTTATCAGACCCTAGAGGTGTGAAAAAGAAAAATCAGAATCTGAACTCCGTTGCTGAAGTGATGTAGGTAATGCCTCAAATAGAACAGAGGCCATAACAATGCTTCTAAATAATTCAATATCATTTCTCTACGATATAATGAAGGACAAAAAATTTCATATGAGGAGGTTTTAAATTCTTCAAAGCAGCAAATAAATTAAGCATAGGCAGGAAGAATATCCCCAGCTATGGAGTTTCCGGCCATTCCAAGTTACTAGTAGCCAGGATAGCTCACCTTGGAAAACTTAAAAATAGTAGTCTGGGCAATTGAAATTGTTATTTTTATTTATTTATTTATATTTTTTTCTTTTTGGTGCTTTTTTCATTTATCTGAATCTAACAAATCAAATTAAGGAAAAAATTAATGCTTCCATGGACAGGGAGGAACACAAACCAAAACAAATCCTAACATAGGTTACTAGTGTAAAAAAATAATGATAACAAAATAAAATAAAAAAGAAAGATTCCCATAGATGCACTTATACAGAAGTTAAAACAACAATACAGATTCCCATTATTACATTTTGTACAAAATTTTAATGGAAGCAATCAACAACTGGAAGAAGGGTCTAAGTAGTGAAGGCAGCTATTACAGTAACAGTTGCAGCGTAAAGGAGGGAGGATGTTATTGAGATTACAAAAAGGACATTGCCAGCGGAGCCATTAATTTAAATCATCTTCAACAAACTCTCATTAAGAAATTCTGATACACACGTAAAAAACCCAGAATGCCAATATTGGATCTATATCAAATTACTAATGAATTTTGTTGAGCTTTTTAAAGATGATTTAACATGGGAAACGAAATTTACATTGGATTTTGTATCACTCTTAGCAATAGACCAAAAAAACACTAAAATATGAAAAGAACTTCTTGACTCAATAAAACATATTTAAACAACATTATAATCTAAACATCACATATACAAATGATCAAAGTGGGTCCAACCAACTGAAAACAAAAGTAACTATTAATTTTATACAATCTATACTTGTCAAAAAAACAAACAAACACACACACACACACACAAAAAAAAAAAAAAAACCAACCCAATAACAATTTATCTAGTCTAATGTCAAACAAAACCTAAAAATAAAAAATAAATAAACAAATAATTAAAAATTTTGAAAAATAGAACTTCCCAGTTGAATATAATATAAGAAGCTTTGATTAAATATCTAAGCTAGATCTCGTATGTATGAACATAAAAGTTAAGTCAGCAGATTTAGGAGACATGTTAATTTGAGCGCTTTTTATGATATCTTTACTTGTAAAAAAAAAAAAAAAATTTAAAAATCATAATAACATTTGGCCTTTATAAACTCAGCGACGAAACTGGATTTCACAACCATGAATCATATTAAAAACCAGTATAATAGGCATAAAAGGAAGGCTACCCATCTTAGTGATTATGTAACGGCCATTACAACCCTTAATAGCCATTACTTGATACTACTAAGATTAGTGCATGTGCCTTAACTGCAACACATCTGTTTAAAAATTAAAGCATCAAATAAAGGAAAGAGTTACTAAACTAAAAGATCATTGTTGTAATTTGAATTCTATTAGCACAAACAAATCTTTAATTACAGGTTTCCAAACAACAGACAGTGGAATCAACCCAAAGCAAATGATGACAAAAATTCTTGTATATAAGCATAATAACAGAAGTCCTTATACAAATAAAATATTATACTGGCTGACAATCCCCAAGATCGTTGGGGTATGCTCATTTGTAACAATCTAACGAACATTGTGTATCATACAAATGACAACAACCACAGGATTTGATGACAGTTTCACAAATAGTTCATAGCCCTCTAAAGGATAAAATCTACATATAATATAGATAATTAGATATGTATACAAACACAATGAAATCCATGTGCCATAAAAGAACAGAGGCAAATTTACAGAAGCTATCACTATAAAACCCGTGCCTCCATATATTATGCTCCTTCCAAAAAAACTTAGGTAAACCCAATTTCCATGATTGCATTCAAGATATCAAAACAAACTTAGAAATCAAAACCAATTCTTAAGCTTGCATTGAATTTATTGCCTGTAATCAGAAAGAGCAAAAGGAAACATATAGGAAACTAAATTTCAAATGTCAGAAGCAATTTGCCAAAACAAACATTTATTTCGCTATGTATTGGGGTAAAATTAGTATCCTTTGTGGAAGCAGCAAAATACCTAGCCACCTGCATGTAAAGCATTATAGCAATACATACATAAGGTTGTGACAACAAATAGAATACCTCTTGAACCAGTACATATATGGCAGCTAAATAAACTGGAACAAAGAAAAAAAAAAAATCATTTTCTTTTTTTTATTTACATTCCAATGGGCTATGGAAAATTAATGACTCATCCACATCATCATAATGATATGAGTTAAATATGTACAGAGTCAAAGAGTTTGACCAGGTCAAAGGTAATTGTCCTTAGCAACTATAAACAGAACAAAAAACGAAACAAAATGGTATGAGTTAGATATTTACATATATTAAATCCGTCTGACCAAAGAAAGTTATTTGTCCCTAGCTCCATAAAAAGCGTAAGAGGGTGTTTATGGGGGCCAAAGTCGTATGATGAAACCACACAACAAAATGAATGAACAATATCAAAAGTCCAGAAACAGCAACACAAAAATATAAGCAGCAGACATAAAACATATAACAACAAAAGTAGGTTGACTCTAGGGAGAATACAAAAAACTTTTGGTCGAACTAGAAATTCTACTTTCAAATATGTGAGAACAATAAGTTAACTGGTGATCTTGTACCACGTTTATCATCCTAAAAACGGCTGTTACCCCTCTTATGCATGACGATTGATGGTATCAAGTTATAGGTCGAGCACTTATAAGTGGACGTATGAGGACTCTTATGCCTTAAGAGTTACTTTGATCACTTACAAAATCCATCTTTATTATTTTTTGGGTTTAGATTCTATAAAGTAAGCTAACTATGTTTATCGTTAAGGAAACTAGTTGCTACACTGCTTTTTATTCTGAAATACTTCCACAACATAGGTCCATATTGCAAACCATGTATCACTATTTACAATTTTGTTTGACAAACTGTAAGACATTCTTTTTTCCATCTATTGGATTAAAAGAAGTAAACTTTTTCATCCAAAAGCAATGAAATAAAAATATGATGCATCAAGAAATAGGTTAATATTCACCATAACAGCTATCAATATTGTATACCATAATTATGCAGTTGCAAGAATGTAAAAGTTGGAATACCTGGAGGAAGATAGGAAGCAATGGCTGAAGAGCTTTAGGAAGACAGAACCCAGGTATTACAACTGGCCCTCCCTGCAAGTTCATAAAATGTGTTTAAATGAATGAGATTCCACATAAAGTTATAACCAATTTGATTATCATGATCCACAATACCATTCATATGTTATCATCATCTAAATTGCAAAGAAGGCACCCATTTACCTTCTTTTTCCTACGCTCTTTATCTCTGGATGTTGATACAGCATCACGAACTAACTTTATATATGAAGGTAGAACTTCCTTGGGAATTGAACTAATCACCCTAGACAAAGCTTCCCAGGCAACCTGTGACAAATATGATAAGATACAACATGCAAAGTGGAGGGAATGCAACCATGTGTTACCCATAGGATATTACCGCAACTGTAGCAGAATCCGAATCGCTAAGCAAAATAATCAGTGTAGATATCATGTTTGGAGCTTCATCAACCAAATACAATTTGCTGTTTTTGAAGAAGTATCCCATCAAATATGAAGAACTTCTTCTAATTATAGCCTGGAACCAAAAAGGTCAACTGAGAGAGAGAGAGAGAGAACGGGAGAGAGAGAGAGGGAGAGAGAGAGGCAATAGATGGTAAATAATCAACCAAAAATTTACCTGGTTATCATTAACACCTTTAAGAAGCTCTGATATTAATGATTCAATGCCTTCCTCATCAATAACCAAGACAACAGTTTCTGCAGCCTTCTTCGCCAAATTTTGAATAGCCTAATTTTTCAACCAGCAGCAAATGATTGAGAATAATTAACATACAGAAAGAAATTTTATGAAGTAATAAGGTAAAATCCAAAATCAAAGAAAGGAAAAAATTAAGTAGAGGACCTAGAAAAAAAAATTACACACACACACATACACATATAAGTTCACTTGCAAGCCAAAAGAAGCAAGAGGCATAAAAAAAATACAAAAATAACATGCAGCAAGTAGCATACCATGTCATCATCACCCATTCCAGAGAGTAACGCAGGAAGAACAGTACAAAGGTGGAAGTCAAGACCAGGTCCAGCAACTTCTGCTAGAGCTCCCAGAGCATGTGCATTGAAGGCACTGAAGGCAAGGCATTATCCAAAGGTTTCACTAGAGAGGCAATAACTCAAATTGCACTAAGAGATAATAAGAAAAGGGATATATATACGTACGAAAGGGGTAGATGGACCAGCTTGGGCAAAATATGAGGCAAAACAGCAGTAGTCCTGACACTAAATTTAAGGAATAAAGAATTACGCATTCGTCAGGACAGAGTTGAAAAACATCTAACAAGCTGGTAGTTTTTTGCAAGACATAGAAATATCGTACCTTAAGATTTGTTTGAGGCCATCAAGAGCAGTTTCTGAGGTTAAATCATCTTCCAAAGCATGTAGAAGAGTAGGGACAATTTCATCAACTGCTTGCATTCCAGCACTCTATAATATGACAATTTAATGTTCATTTATGCTTACAGTTCACAATGTTAGAGATAAGTCACAATATGAAAACAAGCTTACAAGACGCTAGAAAAGAGCACCTTGTAAAGTGTGCTGAATGCTAAACCTGCAGACTCACGAACTTCAGGCGTGCTGTTAAAAAACAGAATCCCATGAAACAAAGCCATAAAAAGAAATATTAAAGTCTATATAGTAGAATTATTTGTATTTGCAGACACAGCAAATAATGGACAAACCTATCACAAAGGGCAGTCCGGATAGTAGGGATAAGCTCGTCCATAAAACTCAATAGCTGACTCTTACCAGCACTGGCCATCACTTCACTCAGACCAATGCATACTCCCTGTCAGTCAAGAGGATATTTGAGTAAAAAAATTTGAAAACAATAATACTGATGAAAAAATTGTAGAAGGGAAACATCCTAGTCCAGAAGCTTCTCTGAGCCAACAACGGCTAACCTTTCTCCATGGGGACGAAAAAAGAAAAGAAAAAACAAAAACAAAACAAAACAAAAATGAAATGAAAAACATAACCAACCCAAGACTAACAAGAAGATAACAAGACAAACATAACCTTCTGCATCATCTTTTCTCAAAGTGGCTTAGGTCAAACTTGAACCAGTTTCCATACACTTGTCAGCGCAAGATATTACCATTGGACCAAGCAATGACAAAAAGAAAAACTGCATATAACTAATGCATCAGAGGATATTACCTAGCCTCAAACCAATGATTTTTCTCTCCGAAGTAACCCATTAGAATTATCAACAACGAAATGTAGAGGCATGGAATAGAACATGAAATCTAATAATTAAAATGAAATCATATGACGTACATGGTTGTGATACTTGAGCTTTAAGAGTTACCCTTCCAAGTTCCAAAAAGATAGGGCAATAAAGTGAGATGCGCCACAAAAGACCAACATAAAAGATGAAGTCGCGAGAGATTCCCATTCAAAGATGACATGTATTAATGGAGCCATGAGTATAATATATACCACATCTTCTCAATTTCCACAACGCAATATTTACCCTGCACATCTGATCCTATGCAAAAACTTATTTTTTATAATATTTATACACCTAAGCTTCCAATATAATTTTCACTCAACAACTTTAAAAAAATAACTTTACTACCTTTCTCCAATTTCATTGTCATTCACTCAAACCCTTGTGTCCTCACCCTTGATACAATCATATAACCATCTCTAGTTCTACCCTACTCAGGCTTCTAAGCGCCTTTGTCTTAATTGTTCAACTAAGTATACAGTGCACAAACCAATGAAAAATAAAAAATAAAAACCGCCAACATATGTATTTTCATATTCTGTGCATCTAATATCACCCTAAGACATCACAAGCAGTGGTCCCTCCATTGTAGGGTAGTTCAACATCAGAATATTATGAGCTAATTAATATTAGACAAATATCATGCTACCAATTTAAAGATGTGAAAAAACTTGACACCACCCCATCAACACAACTTGAACCCAACCGAGATTAGCTGATTTAAGTTGATTTTTTTCATGTCCATTTCATAATTGTGTCAACCAGATTAACCCGTTAAAATACACAGGTTGTGTTCAGAATCAGAAAGTCAACTAGTTTAACCCAATTTGACACATTTAAATAATCGTATGACATACAGTAAACCCAAAGTTAATCATGTTGTTATAGAGATAAAATGGATGACTGGTCATTTATAGTTTTAATTCAATATTTTAATTGCTTTTGTTATATTTGCATTTTAATATCAAGAAAAAAATAGGGCAAATTACACAAACCACCCCCGAGGTTTTTATATTGTGCATGTAGATAGAAGTTATAGTAATATTACAAAAAGGTCCATACTAACCGTTTGAACACAAGGGATCAATATAAATTTACATTTTTGACCTTAAAATTAAAGTATTTCTTTTTAATGAAAAAAAATAAAAGATTTGGCGTGACCCATCGACTCTGATTGATTGAGCAACGACCAATTTTTTTGGGTCGATTTCAAACCCTAAGGTTCGTGGAATTTTGTGAAGGAATTCGGAATGGTTTGTGGCTCTGTGGTTGGATTTGGGTCTGTGATTGGTTTTGTTGCAGATGGTTTTGTGGGTTTTGCAATTTGGTTCTGGTGTTCGTGGTGATGGATGTTTGGGTGGGTTTGGTGGTGGTTGCACTTGGCGGTGATGTGGTAGGGAACTGATGGGGTGTACCACTCTTTGAGGGGCAAAAATGAAACTTGCCAATACACAATATTTTTTATTTTTTTCATTAAAAACAAATATTTTAATTTTAAGGTCAAAAATGTAAATTTATATTGATCCCTTGTGGTCAAACGGTCAATACGGACCTTTCTGTAATATTGATATAACTTCTATCTACACGCACAATATAAAAATATCGAGAGTAGTTTGTGTAATTTGCACAAAAAAATATTAAACAGACCATGTTGTGCCACAAAAGACAAGGGTCATGTCAAGTTACATCTTTAATAAATGGCTCGTGTTCATGCCAAGAGTGCTTCACCGAAATTTTCATGTTCAGGTTGACACATAGCATAAACCCTCATCTCAAAACAACGTAAACACGACTTGTTAACACGAATTATCACCACATACTAAAGTGTTTGTTCTTATGATTTGAACCAGTATTCTTATGTTTGACAGCATGAGGATAGATTGAAAAGTTCAGAGAATAAATAAAGACATCTTTGGTTGGATAGCAGTTCCAGGGAGGATTCTGACACTACATAACTTGAGGAGGAGGAGGCAGGTCGTTAACTAGTGTTGCATGTGCAATAGAGAGGGTAGGTCTCCTTCTGTTTGCATAGCCCAGTGGTCCAAGACAGTCGGGGCTTGCTTTTGGGGTTGTTTGGGGAACAGTGGGTTACAACCCGGTCCTCTAGAGGCATGATAGAGGTTTTGAGACGTTGTACAGTGAGTTCCAGGGCCTGTGACTTTAGGACGGTGGTGCCCTTGTGTTTGGTGCTGCTTAGGAGGGAACAGAATAGGAGATCATTCGATGGTGAGGAGACTCCAATTGGGGCACTGAAATTCTCTATTATTAGTTCTCTCTTTTGCCAAGTTATGGGCAGAAATTGTATATCCAAGGGGGAGACAGTTGATTTTTTTTTTTACATATTGAAAGATCCGAAGCCCTATTTGGTTCTTGTGTAGCTTTTGCAGGATGCGTATCCCTTTTGAATGCCTTCTAATACAATCTTACTTATCAAAAAGTGTTCAGCCATCGTGCCAACAATCAATGAATTTATATAAACATTACTTTTTCTACCATCGTGCCAACAATAAGTGAATAGTATCCAATCAATGAATTTATATAAACAATATGCGGTCCAATCCAATAACAGTCATTTTACGGATAGTAAGTTAAAAGATGAAAGTTAACAACACAGTGGACTCTACAAAACCATTTAATCTCACTCTATTTCAAATTGGACATGGGGGGAAGAAAAAAAGATATTATTTTTCTAAGAGAGGCAATTTAATGCTGTAAAAATTCCGTGGAAAGCAGAACTGGTTGGGGCATAAACATATTGAAACTAAAAGAATTTCTTTCACTTTTGATCCATTTTCTCCAATTGACAAGTAAACCAAACAAATGAAGTCGGCTATACTATGTTAAATAATACCACGATTTTAAAATAATAAACAGGAAGCAGAGTCTGCCCAAACCATATTTGTCATCCAACTAAAGAGAGTTTCTATAGATACCGTTTCAACATTTTGGTGACATGAAAATAAGAAACATAAAAAACAATCAGAAGGGCAGCAATCTCACTTGTCTTCTGCTGGTATTGGTATCCTTTAGCCCCTTAGATAAAATGGGAATGATCAAAGGAAGCACTCTTTCCCCAAGCTTCCTAACAAGCTCACCTAGTGACCGTCCAGCAACCTACAAACAAATGAGTAATAGAATTTGTAGTTGTTGAATTGTGAAAATTATATATACTAATAAGTCAAAAATTATTACAGGAATAGCAGACCTGTCGTCTTTCAGAGGATGAAGATGCAAGAGAAGCAATTAATGTATTCATTAAAACTGGCATTATTTCCTTGAGCGTCTTTGGAGTGTTTGCAACTATAGTCTTCCATACATGTAATGCAGCCTAAAAAAAGGATGAAAAAGAAGAGAGGAAAAAATGTGGGGCTTCAATTCATTTATCAGATATTTAAATGGAAAGAAACTGTGTCAGTATTCGGTAGTAAGCGAAGCAATAACTAGTTGAAATTGATAGCATCATGACCTGGCGCACTGATAAGCTGACATCAGTTCGAACCATATACAGCGCAGCAAGAACTTCATTACGCTTATTCATTCCAAGCACCTCAATAATAGCACGGCCATGTGCTTCAGTACTAGACCCTTCGTCATCACTACCACCCTCAAGCAGTGATTTTCCAGAAGTTCCAGCCACCTAGAAGAAAAAGAACATCCCAGATGAGAAGCCTACATTATCACTGTAGGCTCTTATCAAAGGGTAATCCAATCTTTGTAACAAAATGCAAAATATTCCACTACACAGAATGGGAATGGACATGGGATGCCACAAAATCTGAAACACGGAATATATAGACTCATACAGATCAGCTAACCAAAATGCAGTAAGGTATAAGAGAAAAAATTTCTTTCAATAACTAATGACTTAGTGACACATAATTTTATTAAAAAAAATTACGCAAGGAAACTCATCATAATTAGGAGTTGATTACACAAAATGCAAAACGTAGCATACAGTACCTGAATCGACCTAGAAGAAAAAGATCATCCCAGATGAGAAGCCTACATTATCATAATGCAAAATATTCCACTACACAGAATGGGAATGGACATGGGACACCACATAATCTGAAACGCGGTATATATAGGCTCATACAGATCAGTGAACCGAAATGCAGCGAGGTATATGAGAATAATTTTCTTTCAATAACTAATGACTAATGACACGTAATTTTATAAAAATAATTTACGTAAGGAAACTCGTCATAATTTGGAGTTGATTACGCAAAATGCAAAATGTAGCATACAGTACCTGAATTAAGCTACCGATTTGCTTTGGTCCTTCCATTAATATGTCATTAATAAAGCTATAGTTGTCACTTCAAGATCATTTTGGTAATGTTGCATCTTATAAAGGAAAACAAATATTAATGGAAGAAACAAGAAAACATTTTTAGGCCGACAGATGAAGCATGATGGAAGTAAAGTGTACAGATTTGCACGAGCACTAGCTTTTGTTACAATATTAAAATATTTGAAGAGGTTGAGGAGGATATACCTTAAACAATAGATCACCTAATAATTCCACAGAACTTTGCCGTATACGCCAATTGTCATTAAAAATACCATCTTCTACAGCTGGAAGGAGCAGAGGCAAAGAACTACAAAAAGGACAAAAACCCAACATAATTAGAAATTGAACATTAATAGCAATGTGAAAATATAACAAACATCTTGACAAAATGTGTCACAAAATCAGTAATTGAGCATTAATAGAGTTCCAACTATATAGAAAACATTTTACTTAAAAATGGGAAACAAATTTCATTCCTCACAAGTCAGTAAGCTACAAATGACATAAATGTGAAAACTAAACCCAAAACTATTCATTTTAATTCCCTGGAATTTAATAGGGCATTATCCGATTAAATTAATAATCAATCAGTTCTTGCAATCAATTTTGAATTCAGAATTGATGAAGATGAAGTATTAGCTTTAAAAAAAATAAAAAAATAAAAAATCAGCAATGGACCAAAAAACCCAAAAGAAAGACACATACGTCGTTGCATAATGCTCCACCAGAACGTGCCCAGCACTGAGTGCTGCTTCACGGACAGATTCATTCTCATCTGCTAGGCCTGTATGATAAAATAAGCAGGCAATGTATTCATAACTAAGTGAACAAAGAGTAGACGAAGTATGCAATTGTAAAAAGTAATAATAATAAACCAACAAAAGTGCAAAAACTCGTACATCCACAGAAATAAAACAGAAAATGAATACTTACCATCTAAGATAGAAGGGAGCACCTGCTGCAAATAGTTCTGGAATTGGACACCTAATGACCTTGGCAAATACTACAACCAAATTCCATAAGAAGATAGCAAAATTCAGAAGGAAAGGAAAGTTTTCATAAAAAAAACCAAATCAATCAATTCACTATGTTTACCTTAAAAAGTGTCAGATGCCCATCACGCACAGATGCCTTTTGATGAGAACAGTTCCGAATAATATCGGGAAGTATATGCTCAAAGTATTCTGTTCCTAATGCAGCCAAAACCTAGTACAGACAACAACCTCTTCGTCAGCAATCATAACTTCAGCAAAACACGGTCCAAATCACACCATGAATTATAAGACTCTATTGTCGACATAAAGGTAAATTTAATGACACAAGGATAAAAATAACCCTATTATTTAGAAAGAAAACAAATTTCATCAAATTTATGATTCCAAGAGGGCCAGGATGAACCTAACACTTAAAATACTACAAGTTAGGACATAAGGACCCTAGATTGTGTTAGAATATAGTTAATCCTCAGTTTGCGTGCTTAAGCTGAAATTGAAGCAAAATTAGTCCCATGCTTAACGACAGTTAATACAAAACAATGTTTTTGCACCCAGCCCAAAAATCCATGGAATGTTGCTACAATAAGTGTAGGGGAAAAAAAGGCTAAGAAGGAAAGGCAGAACACAATATTAAAAACAAAAACAAAAAAAAACAAAACAAAACAAAAAACAAAAAACAAAAAAACAAAAAAAAGAAGAAGAAGAAGAAGAAGAAGAAGAAGAAGAAAAGAGAAAAGAGAAAAAAGAAAAAGAAAATAAAAATCTAACCTCGCTCAGCCCTTGGGCTGCTCCAGAGCGTTCAACATTACTATTATCAGACTTAAGTGTATCTAACAACCACGAAACAAGATCTGGGAAGTTTTCTTCTCCCATTCCTCTTATAAGAGAACCAAGGGCCCTTGCAGCAACAGACCGGACTTCAGGAATTGGATCGACAAGAACCTGTTTTTGTTAGAAACAAAGAAAATGAGATCAACAATTAGAATGGTTAAAATGTATGAGTCAACAAAGTCAGAGAGGCACCTTCTTTACTTCAGGAAGGAGCAATCCTATATAGGGAATCATGTCCTTCGGTTCGGTTACTAACGAACACATATTTCCAACTATTTGGGCAGCTTTCTTTTTAGTTTCTGCACCCCTTTCCCTCAACCCTCTATGCACTATAGGCACCAACAGTGCAAGTGAAGGAGCATCGATTGAATTAACAAAAGTTGTCTGCAACAAATAAATATGCACTTGAAGCTATAAGGAGAGTAGAGATAAAAAAAAACATTAACTGGCATCAATATAGTCAATTTCCTTACTTGGAGGAGAATATCAAGGGAGTATTTTGTATAGTCATTGGGGTCTGTGAGACCCATTAAAAGAGTAGGGACAAGAGAAGATATTTCCGGATTCTTTATCACATTCCCAACCTAGATATAGCACAAAGAAAAGATTACATAACAATATTAAGGTAAAGAGTGGAAGCAACTTGATAATAAAAATTCTCACCTCCGTAAGGGCCGTTTGCCCTGCTGACTGAACTTTGGGATGGGTGTCTGTTAGCACCTGCAACCAAAACATTAATTCAAGCAATGAGAAAATTTAGGTGAAATCTTAGGAAGACTGTCCACCAACCAAAAGTAGGAAGCCACAAGGGAAATTTATGTTAAGATAACCTCTGTCAACTTAGGCACAATCCTAGGGAGGCATTGAGACAGCTGCTGTGGAGCGCAATAAGCCATAGCACCAAGAAGTTGCACACTACTTTGCTTCGTCCGCCAAGCTTTATCTTCAAGGCCCTGAACAAACCACGCATTTTTACCATGAATTTCTCATGTTAGGGAACTCTGGAACTTATGAGATCATGAACTATGTACACATCCCATAGAACACAGATATAGACTCGCTTAGAAGGGCAGCGAGTTTATTGAAGAAACCTCACTTAAATGCCGTCTAAAATTCTAGAAAGTTCATCGCTTAAATATGATTAAGAATTAGCCTCACATTCTTTTAACCACTTTTTAATCCATAAGCCCCAGCTATGTCATCTCAACCCGAATCCCAATAATCAAAAGTCTTGCCACTTGTATTAGATTATTAGCCATCTTTTCCTATCCTATAGGGCCACAGGGGGACTGTATTCAATGATCTCAATAATCCATAATCATCAGAAGTTTCTAAACCCTATTACATAAGGCCATATTTATAAAGTAAAATCATAGGCAATTTTACGAAACCCAAATAACTAATTATTCAAATATTACAAAAAATTTACATAAAAAAATAAAGGTAACTCCAACATAATAAATTCCTAAAAATAATTAAAATAAAGGAAAATCGATCTTTCCTTGCCCCTATCCAGGCATCGTAAGGACCATGTGCCACTCATGCGTACGGATCATTTCTTCATCTCTATACATTCTCACCAGCTGAACAGAACACTGAAAATTACTGCAATGCTATATCTCCAAATAATCAGAAAAGCTAAAATCACCATCAAACATTATTGCTTCAAACTGATCCACTTCATATTCCTAGTATTCAAGCACAGACTAGGGCTTCCCTCCATTATTCCAAGGAAAATTACACCTTAAAAGATGCAACGAATTACCAATAAATTTAGTAACCATCAAAGGCTCAATTTTCCATCTTATTCAACTCAAGCGTACAAACAACAGAATCAATGTAGAAGTCATCAAGTTAAGTTAAAGACTGCAGAGCACCATGGCCAATTTCTTCAGGAGATACCATATCCAGCACAAACACTTCAACCTCATTAGATGATTAATATGAATCTTCCAGCTCAAGAGAAACAAGACTGCTTTCCAAATACCCCTCTCAAGATGCATCAGGTCAAATTGAAGCAACTACTTCTGCAAAATCAATATAGGAGACGATAGGTGGTTCTCAAACGATGACGGTGATGTCAGGATGAAGAGGACAAGTTGGTAGCAATGTGATGGACGGTTGTGTTGGTTTATGTCCTGTCTCAGTTTACTGTTCTGTCTTAGTTCTCTTAGTTTGCTCTTTTAATGTCAAAAAGTCATAATTCAATTCGTAGAATTCTTATTTCCTTTCAAATAGAGCCGACAGCCCTTGAAGGGTGTTTCTGTAATTCTGCAGCACTCAAAAGTATTCTCTCAGCTGGAATACTTCTAGAAAGAGCTCTGTTTATTTTATCCCCATTGACTTTATTACCCTTGCAGCATGAGTATCAGTTTCTAATAGAAGAGGGCAGTTTGGTACTATATATGGAAAGTCAGGTCTGAGGGGCATTTCTGTCAATGAATCTCTAATGGATCTTTTACCTAAAACTATGAATTGACCAGCTGAGCTAAGATGTTAAAGAAACCTGCAAACAGCTGATGCATTAATGACAGTCACACAAAAAGCTTAAAGTTCATCTGTTACAGTTTGTTCAAGCTTAAATCTATTCAGAACAGCTGTGCATCACTCAAAATGAGCTAAACCAAGCTGATTCAGTCTTGAGTGTCAACTACTGAAGTTCAAATTTTCAAATCTCATCATCTGCTGTTTCCTGCACTGTCAAGCTGCTCTACTGAATCTGTATTTTTCATACACTCTGCATCAATCATATTCCATCGTATCCTATGGTGTGAGACATTTTTCTATACTTGTGAGATGGGTTAGTTTTTGGATTTGGGTGAAGTGAACAGGAGGAGGTTAACAAAACATTGTGGTAGAGTAAACTGAGAGATACACTGATACTGTAAAGTGTGAAATGTACTGAGTTTGTTGATATAGTAGATTGGTTAACCTAGGCTTAACAAACTCATGGATGTTTCCCAATTTTGGGGGTTTTACCATGTATATTTGGTGTCCCGTGTGTTTGATTAAATTTCCTTTTAACTGTTTGATTTATTGACAGTATTCGTGAAATTTTTTACCAAGGAACCAATTCACCCCTTTCCTCTTGGTTCCTAAAGGTTAATTAACAATGGCGGTCTCAGAATGACGAGATAACACAGGCAGGTGAAGTGCTGGAGATGACAAAGGGGATAACAATGGTGACACTGTTGACACAATCTCAGCAGCAAAGACAATGTGCAACGTGGTGGTCCGCTAACTCCACATGCGAGGCGGCTACTCGGGACAGTAACAGCTTTTCGACAACATTGAAGAAGAAAAAGATAGCAACGGCTATGGCAATCGGGGAATGTGATGAGCTTGAGTTTGGGGTTTGCAATATTGATTCAACTAGGTTGTGTTTGATGAATAAATGTGGTGGGCTGCAGGGTGTGGTTGTGCGGCTTTAAGATAGGTGGTGGTTTGTTTCTGTGGCTGTTTGGATTGTTGGACTTGTAAGTGACAGATGAAAGATGGTTAGGCAAGTGTTTTGATTTCCAGAGACTAGGGGTTTAAAGGTACTCAATGGAGTTTCGGTTTCGGCTTCTTTGGATTTTTTTTTTTTTTTGCTTGTGAACAGTAATAGTAGGATTGCAGGAGTTCCGATCGATGGGTGCTTCGATTGGCTATGACTTTGTTGATTTGAAGGCCATGATCAGAGCTTGGATTTTTTGCTCTGAACTTGGATCTTCGCTTCAATACCACATTGATGTAAGACCAAAGTGGTGTCAACCGAATGCAAGACGATCAACGCTCTTGATGCAAAATAGATGTAGACCCAGGGAAGAGAGTAATGATGAGGGAGAAGACAAGAATAATAATTAGGTGGAAGCAATCTTCTATTCAACAATCTAGAAAAACCAATAATCATAAAAAGTTTCTAAACCTAAAAATATTTAAAATATAGTAAAACACTAAAAACCCAAATTCCTTTGCCCTATTCACAGGCATAGGAGTGAGCCATGTGCAGTTCATGCATACGGAACATTTTTTCATCTCCACCAAAAGCATAATAAAGTACTGTTTTGTTTGAAAGTAATCATAGTTTTTAATGAAGACAATGACCGAACAATTGTTCAGTAGTCCAGTGACAATTTTTAAAAATGTCAATAAACACAACCATTTGTCTGATAAGAATTAGACCAGCCCCATTGCAACTATCAACATGAAAAACAACGTTAAGCAAAACAAAAGTGAATTTGTTAAAACAATATATATATATATAAAGAAATTATATAAATTTGTATATACATATATATATAGATATATGTGTGTGGAACTATTTGTCTACACCTAGTTTAATAATAAGTTAAGCTTATAGATGTATGTAGAGCTATCCGTTGACACCTAGTTCAAGAATGAAGTTAAACTTAACAAACACCGATAACTTTTAGTAGGAATTCAATTTTTTGGTTGGAAATTCAACGAAAAATCATATCAATTAAAATATAGGAGCTGCCTAATCAACATCAGGCTTTAATTTAGAGTTTAATATAATATTTAACAAAGAGAAATATGAATTCATAGATAGAAAAATAATATAAATTCATGGGTTGAAAAAAGAACCTTTAAAAGTGACGGAAGAACAAGTTTCACCCCCTGTGCACTAAGTTGTGACATCATTGCACGAGCAGCACATTCAGCAGCTTCTCGAACTGCAACAACTTGATCAGAAAAGGAAACCAAAAGTAGTGGTAACATTTGAATTACATACCTGACCACAGAGACACGGTGGAAAGAGATTAGTTCTACATTCCAACCGATATAGAAGAAAATCAAAGTTTGCTTACAAATAACTGACTACGTACGGTTCAAATAATCTACCAAGCTTCTCACAAAGGCACTCAAACGCAAGTAATGCACCCTCACGGCATTTAGCAGAATTCCTGAAATTTCAAGATAGTTAAATTTCAACACATGCTAAGGTAGATTTCGATAGTCAATAAAGCTGTGATGATGAAGGTGCACACAATTGCAATCTTGTATAGTAGAAAAATATGTTCGGGAACATGAGTGAAAAGTTGGAAATTACATAACAAAAGGGATTACATGCTTACAAAAGTAAATATACAAAAATTCAAGACTGGTTAAGAATAACCAACAAACTACTTTTCCTTCGGGCAAGAAAATCTCAACCAAAAATTAGAACAAATTTTACAATAAAATCCTGATAGTAACGAAAGCTATCTAGAGAGTGCTAGTTTAAACATCTGGACAACATGAAAAATGTCCAGTGATTGGAGTCTAAAAAGTGTGCTCATATATCAGCAATCAGGAGCTAAATTAAAATTCGCTGGACCGGGATAAAAATAATGGGGGATGGAAGGGGAAGGAATCGGATCATTAGAAAAATATACAAAAATTTAGAATAACAAGTTGCATGTGTGAGCGCACACACAAACACACAAGACAAGATCTGTGTAGGTTTGACAGTGTGCAAAAAATTTAAAAAGCAAGGAAGATCAAAATTCACCTAAACATGAAGCACTTAGCACTACAAAGCTCTCAACCTTCTTTCTCCCAATCAGAAACCAAAACATTTGCTACATAACCTGCATACAAACTCATGGAAAATAACCCCCTAAGCCACAGGGTTTAGATTGTCCCTCTAAGCCACTATATTAACATACTTCATACCGAGTAATCATCCATGGTGCACAAAGCACACATAAATCAAAACGAGTGTATAAACATAGTGTTAATATTTCTATAACTACTCATGTAAGAGAACTGCCAATATGTGCTGCCTTTTTTGAGACAATTAAAACCATCTTGTTTACAAGACCACTTTGTACAAAGCAAACCTTAGGTGCTTAGAGGAGACGAGGTTGGATAATTCCTTCAGTATTTCAAATATTGGAGTGACAATAGATTTAGGGAGTAATTCATGATCGCAAGACATAGGCAACCAAGAGCTGTTAAAATATAAATAATAACGATAGTTGAAGTGAAATCAAGAAATTGAAAGTTTTTATGTCCAGAAATCTTGTTGCAAAATCATTTCATAAAAATGATCTTAATGCTCCTATTCTACCATTCCCTTCCAACGGTTTGGCAAAAAAAAAAAACCCTACACTACTAAGAACATAGGAAGGGGAAAGAGGTTCCAAATTGGTGGTGATATGTACAAAAGGAGCAGTGGATCACCTTCTTGCCCAAGAGACACAGGTACAGTCCTTGATGGCATATTTACTCACTGTTGGTTGGGTATTTCCAATGATGGGAGAATTGACTAAGACAGCAGTGTTGAAAAGAGACCATTTTGCCTTATTTGGTGCATATGGTGAGAAAGCAAAGGGTAAAATTTTGATGGAATGGAGGAGCCAAGGTTCCAATTTGTTGTTCAGTTGGTCTACAAGGTGGGTCAACTGGAATAAATAAGAGCTTAGGGAGTAGTATTTACACATAGACCTGATCTTGATCTAAGCTCTTAAAACTCTTTTGTCTAATAAAGTATGAGTGTCAGATGTTCCTCAAATTTTATGAAGAATTGTTATTATAGGGTTGGGATGATGGAAGAATTGGCTGTGATACAAGAGCTTGTGTTGAAAATGGACCACTTTTGCTTCATTTGTGGATATTGTGGAAAGCAACTGATGGATCTTTTATGGAATAGAGCCAAAGATTAAGTGTAATTTTTGTTTTTGTTGTTCAGTTGGTGTACAAGTAGGGTTGCACCTACCATAAAGAAAAATAGGATAGGACGGTTGCTTCATTTGGTGCATAAGAATGCACTTTGTTCATAGTCCTCAAATGGTCTACAAGAATCACTCCCCAGAGCAGTGACTCCATGAAATGCCTAATGCAGCACCTTTAAGCGATTTAGATTCTTAAAAGTTGTCATGGTTGAGCAAATGACGTTTGGCAATACCTCCCAGGAGGAGGGTTTTTAATAAATTTTGCACAAAGAAGTGGCCCAAATTTGATTGACCTTGGAACTGGCAAGAATATTCGTGATCTATTAGATGGAAATAGCAAGGAAAGGAAATGAATTTTTTAAAACATTTTAAGAACTTGAATAGCAGGAAAAGGGAAATATTGATGGAAAGCTATTTTCTATAGCCACCAACATCCCATAAAAGTTTCCTACAAAAAACACAGGAAATATTTTGGGTTCTTTGAGGAAGTCACATGGATTTACAATTTCATGGATTCTGTGAAATGGTAAATTCCAATCACTTTCTTGATTACATGCTAATCAAATGCATGTTTCCCATTTACATATTTAAAAAAAAAAAAAATGGTGTATGTTTCCTTTCACTCACTTAACTATCTTTTACTTCCACTTGCTGAAATTAGTTTCCATCTAACCAAACAGACCTTTAAAGAAAATTCTTTTATACCAAGGAACTGAACAAAAACATTAAAAATGGAATACTGAAAAATTGTAAGCCTCTAAGAAGACAAAATTTTAGTCAAGAATAGTGCCTAAAAAAGAGGCAAGCCTTATGCCAATTAAGATGTAATTCTCTATCCACCAACAGTTCCAAATAAGAACAATAAAACTAAGGCTTTCAATTTTTCAGTGCACGTATGAGATCACCACCACATATAACAAGAGAGGAAAGTTTAAAACACAGGATCTGCAATGAACATATTTGTATATGTTTGCCCAAGTATATACATATATAAATATGATCCTTCACCCATTCATTCAATACTCCAGTAAATTTGAGCTGAAGTTAGTAGATTATTATGAGTACAAAACAGCAATAAAGATATAACGTTGGCAAAAGTAGTGATGGAGAACAAACCTATCCACGAGACCACCTTGCAACGTAGCCACAATTCCATACTTCTTCAGACATGAAATTCCAAATCCCTTAACCACCCCAGCAAGTCCAAATGCAGCTCCACGGCGCTCCCCATATTTGTCACTCTTCATCAGCTGATCCAAAAGCCTTGAAACAAGCACTGGTCCATCTTCCTGAAGCAAGAAAAAGAAAGAAAAAAAAAATTATATATGAAGTAAAAAGAAAAGTCAACCCTCATCAATCAGCACATAGAGAGGTTAGAATAAAATATATATATATATATATAATAAATAATAAAAACAGTATCTCCCCAGTACTACAAAATGTGAATTTTCATAGTACGAAGGGATATATATATATATATATATATATATATATATATATATATATTTATTTATTTATAAGAAGAAGAAGAAGAAAACAAGCATTAAAAATACAAAGAGGAAATAACCTTAAAAAGAAAACTAAGCTTTTGTGAAATCCAGTTACAGAAACATAAAACACAAGTTCCCCAGTTGAGGAAAACAAAGAAAAAAATCCCCAAAGTAGGCGAAAACTAAAAAGTATACATATAAGAAATGCTTAACATTGTGCCCTATCAAACCCTATAGCAATTAGAGAATCTGATATTGCCATCTTCTTTTGAATCCAACACCATTATAGTGCCTTAATCACATAAAAGCTCCAATTAGTGAATCTTGCTCAAAATCAAAGGAGACAAATCCAAAAATACCACCCCTTCAAATAAACTTAAACATCACAGCAATTAAAAAAAAAAAAAAATAGAAAAAAATAACAAGTTAAACATTTTTCCCTCAAGTTCAAGACCCATTTTAGTAGCAAGACTTGCAACATACATGTTTCGATTGCATTAGCGGAGATAAGCAGGATGAGACTGCCCTTTGAACAGCTTCAGATGGGGTGTTTAAAACATCCAATAACTTCTCTACAACAGCATGAACCTTCGGATCATCCTGTTCCAAAGTACACCTGTTAAAACTTAAATGGATTCACAAAGAGAGTGCCATATTTACAATAAGTATGTAAATAATAATTTCACACCTTTGCCAAATGTTTTGCCAAAGCACCAGTAAAAATAACAACACCCTCACGCACCAAATCATACTTTTCTTCATCTGGTGACTGAAGAAGAGCACAAACTAAATAAGAAAAATAAGCAGGTCCCGCAATATTACTGCATGAATATAACATCTCAGCTCTAACAATTAAGACGTTGATGAATATTCAAATAGATATATAGATAGATAGATAGAGACCGACAGACAGATATTACAGTGAGAGACTGACTTCTGAGGAATACCAACCTTTTTGTTTAAGTAGTTCTCAAAAATCGGAAATAACAAAGACACGTTATCTTTTCCATGCTTATCAATAATCATGATACCAGCATTTATCATTCTTCCCCGGACATCTGCATTAGCATCAGCCTGCAGTATCAAAAGCAACCACAAGTTGGTTAATTGTTTACAGGTACATAAACATTGCGACGCATCCATCAAGAAGAACTCTTCCAAGTTCTCTAATTAAAATGCAAAACTAAATAATGAGGTGATGAACAGAAAAAATGGGCAACACTCTACTCGTGGACACAAATTTTGACAGCAATAAAGCAACAATATCATAATAATCGAAACTAATAATAGGCCATTTAAGGTAACACTTTCACAATCTACTATTGTATAACAAGAGAAATAGATTTAACTGTAAAACAACATCCAAAGATGGAAATGTCCAAATAAAAGACAGTGGGATAACAAAGCAAATCTTACCAGTGCTCGCGATATCAGGAATGTCATAACAACGGGAAGGTCTTTGGTTCTCAGAACATCAGCTGCAGAATGTAAAGCCAAAGCTATCCCTTGTCTGCCTAGCCAACCAGCATCAATATGGTCCTCACCGAAACCAGCATCACGGATATACAATGAAAATAGGGTCGAAAGGCATTCCTGAATACATCACCAATCTATAAGAAAACCAAGCTGGCTATGTATGACAAGAGTGTAAATAGAAATTCATTGAAACCTGTATGGTATCGGGGTTTTCATCCAATGCAGCAGACAATGCTTCCGCAGCAGCGAAACGAACATTATAGTTAACGTGGGAAAGTGCTTTCAAAAGTCCAGAATAGTCAGTCCCAAAGTCATACCCATAGCGATCCCAAATGTCTTCTGCCAATTCTGCAACAGACTGAACCAAAAGTGACACTTGGTTAATAATGACAATGATTTCTGTAAAATAAGATTTAGGAAGCAACAAAATGAAACTACAACACACAGATGGAAAACCAATACCCTCTTTTCAGACATCAGTGCCTCAAAAATAAATGATATATGCATACAGATAAAACATCTAAAAGCACCATACAAGTGATAAGGAAGTAGAAAAGGAAATGAATAAAGATGCCTCAGAAATCAATATCCAGCATTAATACCATATGGAATACCAAACTCAGAGACAGTTAAAATTGGCATCAGTTTGCCATAAATGAAACCCCCTCTACACATTAAAGAAGATGGATCACCCAGTTCTATATCAATTTTAGGCATCATATTTACAATCATTAGTAGTGCTCAAGGTTCCAACTAGCCAAAAGTCTATTTACCAAGCCTAGTAATAATTCCTGCAATAGAACATATAATAGAATTTTAAAAACAAGATAAATTGCATGTAGCAAGCTTCACAATCTGTAAAGGTTGGACTAATATACTAATTCAAAATTACAAGGCAACTTGGTATTAGCTCACTGGTCTAGCTCCATGGCACCAAAAATGAATCATTTTATAGAAAATGTAACGAATGCTAGCACCTTAGGGCCATGATATTCAGGTAGAGTGGAAATCAATCATACAACAAATCAAGAATCTGAAAATCTATATTCCGTCTTAGATATTTTTCTTTTATTATTTTATTTTGTCCTATTTGTGGCCAAAATTTAACTCAAGATTCATGCAGTGGGGAACATTGACCTTTCATTTCTTGTGGGCTCAAGAACAACCTAGAGTCTATAATTACGACAAAAAAGGCGACAGCCTTAACAGTTGACTTTACAGACAATTTATTGATCTTGTTGAAGCATGACAAGAAAGAATATACTAACAGAAGTACAAAGAATACGTAACAGAAGGCCAGTATTGGTAAAGAAATCCCCAAAGGACCACAGTCCACAGGAGCAGTAAATGCACATGACAGAAACAAAAGCACACAAGATTTAAGATAACAATTGAATTTTAAAGCTAGTCCGGTGATGGAGACCCTGAGCCGAGTGGTCTACGCACTTACTATAGACATAGATGCAGAGGCTGATTTAGGATTTATTTTATTTTATATTTTACATTCCTTATTTATTTAGAGTTTTATGTAAACTATTAGAGTCAATGATTTAGGGTTTCATGTTTCCTAGTAGATCCTATTATGATGCCTATAAATATGGGTGAGCGATACATTGTGAAGGCATTTTTCGTGAATATTGGTTAATTACAGAAATTATTATTTAGATTTCTTCCCCCTCTGTTCTTCTTCTTCTCCCGAGATCAATTTTGGTATCAGAGCAAAGATGCATATAATTCTCTACTGTTCACAGCAATCAAAACCATCTTCTTCTTCTCCGGAGATCAATTTAGGTATCAGAGCAAAGATGCGCAGAATTCTCTACTGTTCACAGCAATCAAACCCAAACTATTGTTCATCGTGTTCATCCATCTTAAAACCCTAAACCCAAACCACCGCCAGTCCCTACACAGCTTCATCCTCATACCTAAACCCTAATCGTTTAACTACCAAACCCTAACCCCACTGTCGCAAATCCCAAACTCACATACCCAATCATTGTTACCAATCCCAAACACACAGCAAACACCCAACCCTCAACCAAACCAAGCCCCAACTCATCACATCGTATCTCACCATACCCAAACCACAACCACATCACCAACAGCCGGAAGCCATCATGGGAATCGTATCGCTGTCCTCTCCATTGTTGCTTTTTGTCGTCATCACCAAAATAGTCACTGCTCATCGCCGGATTAGTTTGCTGGTCGCCACCGTGTTAGGTCTGCTGCTCTTTGTCGTCGTCACTGGAAGGCCACATATAGAGCCTAAAGCTTTTGATTGTAGTTCATTTGGGAAATTGCAAAATATTTATAGCCACTTTTGGGTTACCTCCTTCACTTGGGATCTACTTAGGACTTTGGTTAAGGTACGGTCTCTTCACTTGAAAATTGTTCAAATACTTTATATTTATTTGGTAGTCAAGAAAATTTGCAAGGTCCTAAATGAAATCAATTAACTTTTGAACCCTTTAAATTGTTTATTTTCACATAACCACATAATGTTTTTACTATCACTTTATCCACCTTAGTTTTGTTATTATCACCTTACGATGTGTTTGCGCCTAAATCCCTACGCCTTGAGCATGAACATTTAGTATAATTATTTTCATGGAAATGTAAATTCCGGTTTTGCATCGTAGAATTTAATAATTTAAATTACTTAATTCAATTTAAAGTCAAATATCGGCACACCTTCCATAACCATTGCTTTATTTTATTCCATTAAGTCACCATGAGTCCATGACCATTGGAGTTATATATAATGCTCAAACTGCAATGGACGAGAGAGTTCAAAACATAGAACAAAACATGAATAAATGGCATCTATAAAGGACTCAATAGCACAACTCAACAAGGAGGTGGCTAAAATATCTACATCTAAGTCGTAATGACAATCACCACAAGAATCCAACTGAGGCTATCAAGCCCCATTGTGGTCTTCTCCATCTGTCAGAGTCATCTAGAACCCCTCAACAAAGGGATTCTAATTTAGAGAGAGTCAAGCTCCAAATTCTAGAAGGACTCTACCACATGTTCAACATCGAGTCACAGATCGTAAGTTTCTACAGTGAAGACTTTGTGGACTTAGCTGACTCTGAACAAGTGTCTGAGGATGATCGCAAGGATCATCAGAGACCTTTTAAACCCCAGGGTGGATACAAAGATGGATGAATTTGATACAATGCCTTCGAGTGTGACTAGTTATTTGGCTTGTTTTGAGAAACTTATGATGAGATGCATGGTAAATGAAGAGCCATAGATCATAGTAGCAAAATTCATCAATGGATTAAAGCCTGAGCACGAGAGAGAAGTCAACTTACATGCACCTGACACATTAAAAGAAGATTATCACAAGTCTTTAGAGATTCAGAAATGCTATAAGCTTCCTAATCCTAGACAAATGACTTCTCAAGCCAGGGAGTCCCAACAAACAAAATCAGTTTCTTTCAACAGATCTCATTTGACCATACAATTTGGGACAGCTGCCTCCATAGGTAGCAACAATTCCAATCAGAGAGCTAATACTTTCATGGGTAAGGAAATTTCAATGTCTAGCGGCCCACTCAACCACATGGTATAATATTGTCCACTTTGGGCCAGAGCCCGCACGGTTTTGCTCTTGGGTTTAACGCCAAAATGCCTCATACCAATTCGAGTGACACACCTACATATATAGCACTTTCCCTTTCCACACCCAGGCGTTGTGAGATTGTGCACTTGTAACTCACCCAGTGTGGTAGCCTGCCAATGCCTCTTGCACCCGCCCACAAGGTCGCCACAATCACCCCCCCTTTGGGGCCCAACGTCCACCGTTGGCCACACTTCCGGTTGAGTCAATCTCTGATACCTTTAGTAACGGCCCAATCTACCACATGGTATGATATTGCCCGCTGCGGGCTTAACCCTAAAAGCAAAACCGTGTGGGCTAGGGCCCAAAGCAGACACTGGCAGGCCCAAAGTGCATCCCAAAGCAGACACTAGCAGGCGCAGATGTAGAGGACGATTTAGGACTTATTTTATTTTATATTTTACTTTCCTTAATAATTTAGGGTTTTATGTAACCTATACTTTATATATTTTACTTTCCTTACTATAGGCCAACTGAACTTTTTTTTAAGAAGAAAAAAAAAACTAGATATATATTTTGTTCAACTTTGAAGATAAGATCAGTGAGCATGCTGTACCTTTTCCAGATCATGCAAAGCAATCCAAATGCTTGTTGCAACCTCAACATTCTGAGGAAGAGAACGGCTAGCAACAGCTGGGATGCACTTTATGGCATTTAAGCAGGCTATCCTTACATGAACATCTTTGGCATAAACTCCATAAAGAGCCTGTAGAAAACATATAAAGAAAAAATGGCATGAGAAATATTATCAAAATAAATTGCAGAAGTGACTATAGATAAATATAGTACATACAGGTGCCACTTCATCCCGTTGCAGACCCAGAGACAACTCATTCAATGCTGGCCCAACAGATCCTTTATAAGCAGGAATAACCCCAAGAACATGATAAAGTACCTGTAGAACAGAAAATGGGTTATACAGCAAGCAAATAGAAACAAAAAAAAAAAATGACAATCGAAGTAATGGCCAGAATGACAACTGGACGAATAAGTCTTAACTGATAGCATTCGAAGCCTAGGTAGGGGTAATATGGGATCCATGTGCAGAAAAAGAATCCGAAGAACATCCTCGTGGAGTCCAGTCTTCTTGGAAGATAACAGTATCCTCTCCATTATCTGACCAAAAAAATTAATTAAATTATAAAATTAGTGAAACTGTATCAATAAACAGATAACTAAAGGTCTCCAAACATAGTAGGTAAAGTTACCGGGAAAACAAACGTAAATGAATCCACGGGAAGAGGTCCAGTTTTACAAGAAACTGATAATCCATTTACCACCCGCTCAAAAAGACCCAAGGAGGGCCTTTCCTTGGCCTCCCCTTCACCAGCAGATGGAATTAGATCCCATAGAACACTAACTTCCTCGCTCACAATTAACCGCAAAGCAGTAGCAATGTCAAGGGCCCAATTACAGAGAGGAGGTGCAGTACATTTGGAAAGCTTCACCATGGTTTCATAGGCCACATCACTTACTATTGGCGAGCGTAATAAAGGTTCGACGAACTTAACCTGAAATCAGATGAAATATAAATGAGAAGTAAAGCAAAAGAACAAATTATTGCTCAAAGGATAGCAACATGTCTTAGAAACAACAATGAATGAGGACCATCTATTTTCTTATAGGAGTTGGGTCAACTATTCAGTTAATCCTACAGTCGGATTTTTAGCAAATTATAGTTTTTTTTTTAAATATATAAAAAGAAGAAATCATTAGTTATGTTAAATTGGCTCGGTTACATTGGATTTGGGTGTATGCCTAGATCTCAGACCTCACTAAACCCAAAATCTAAGATTACAAGTGGGCAGACCCCAGCCAGGGAGGGGGATATAATTTCTTCTCAGTTTTCCTCCAAATGGAATAAATACAACTCACATGGGCTCTTGCAATAGCATTTCATGTCAATCGATATTGACAACATTAGGCTGGACCAAATAAGACAAAGTGGAATGAAATGGTGATTTGTAAGCACAGATATAAAAGGTCTGTTTGGAACAAATAGCAGCTGAAATCACAAAAAGTTCCCGACACAATATATAAGTCTATCAAAATATAAAAGAATGAAAATAGAAAAAGAACAGCAAACACTCATGAATGATCCAATACCTCAAGTGATTATTCTGACAGGGTGTACTTTTTTTCTGAGCATGAATATGGATTATGGATTATTAAAACATAAAGTAGAATATGGAAGACAAACCAGGGAAGGTAGTTCACTGTGCGCAAAAACAGGATTAGCTACGACCATCTCCCCCAGAGCTCTCAGCAACACAGAAAGATTTTTTTGTATAGACATAACCTTCTCGCGTATGCATGCTTCCTCTCTAAGCTGCAACTCACGTGCCTCTTCTTTTGCCGTCTTTCCCTTATCTATATGGATCAAAAATATTATTAAAAAGTTACAAAAAATAATGTCAGGCATTTTAAGAAGACAGGAAAAGGACTGCAATGATGACATGCCAGTTTTCTTTGTTGACTTCCCAAGTTCCTTTCTGCCCGCACCAGTAACCTCTTTGCTCGCAGGCTCCCTCTTTACAGAATGGTTGGAGCTGACATGATCCTGAAGCCAAAACAAGCACAACCTTAACAAGTAATGTTGATATGAAATTATCTCAAAATCAAATGAAAAATATGCACACACAATCACCATGTCATCGTTGTTCTCATACATCCGGAAACGGCCTTTGGCTTGTTTTGTGTTCTTAACAGCAACAGACTCCGCAATATAAACACCTTGTTCACTAGAAAGTGTCCCGTCAGGAGTATGAAAGATCTGTAATGATACGAGGATGATACAAGAAAAGCAAGAAATTATATAGCAACCCAATACGATTAAGATTAAAATACAACACTTGAGACGACAACAAAATAATCATCCCACTTAATATTGGATCATTCATGAATCTTGGTTTCCATACGAAAGGCTTTTAAGTCTTAGAAATCATTGTATACTCCGACATCTTCATAAATTAGTATGCATTCGTGATAGAATTGGAAACCTTTATTTATAAGAATGTAACATGTAGGTTTCTATTTACGGAATGACTTGTCTCAGTCATTATAAGTAGAAGGGCTGAATAGGTTGATGTGTATGACACAACGAACATAGTCAAGAATATATTGTAGAAATTACAAAGGCCATTATTGTAATTTCTCCTTATTTGAGTAGACTTGAGCCTTAATTAGGGTTTACTTCGATTTATCCCACTGGGCTATAGGGACTAAAATCTGGGTATTTTGGGTAATGATTAGTGTAAGACATTGGAACATTTATTCTCAAGATGGCATCTATGCTAGGTCATTTTTGTTTTCCTAGTTGGCACTCACACACACATGCCTCCACTGAGACTCAAACCCCCTTTGGGAAGTAGGGCACCGCTAGGCTACTGGCCTGTTGGTTATGCTAGGTCATTATTGACTTGATTAAGCTTGATCACAGAAATCCAAACGATAGTTTTGATGAAATGTTATATATTTATTAAATATATTATTTTCTCAAAATAAATGTTTTATGTGATCAAATAGAATTGACCAAGAAGTCAATAATAATGGATAAATTAGTGATTGCATTGATGGCTTTATTTGTCAAATATCCTAATTTAGCATAGAGGGGTAATCTTGTAATTTAACACTTGAGGCTTTTATTCAGGGGCGGCTCAAAATAATTTGAGGCCTTAGGCAAAAAAATATATAAGTGGCATTTTAATATGCAATATATCAATATCAAATAATTTTTCACTAGTTATTAATATCAACTAGTAGTAAATTATGTTTATTTAATAATCAACCTTCTTGCTTTTTGAGACGTAAAGTTACCATAGATTTTTGTATTCAAGTTTTGCTAAAGTTTTTTTTTCGTAATATATAATATAACCCATCAAATAGATATATAATCAATAATTAATCAAGCGGGTGCAGAAAAAAAAACATGGAAAGAGGGGAGGAGAAAAAAAAAAGGTTAGATAAGGATAGAAAATAGGAGTTAATTCTTGTGCCCACTATTAAATCTCTCCTATTGTTTGGGGTCTAATAATGAAATAAAATTTTTATGGAACTAACCATATAAGAAAATAAAAAAATTTGGGTTCTTCTGCTATTGGTTGGGGTATAATAATATAAGGAAATAAAATTTTAGAAAGGTAATAATACAAGGATATAAAAAAAATAAAAAATAAAAATTTGGGGGGTGGGGGGCTTCTCCTATTGGTCAGGGTCTTATAATATAAGAAAATAAAAATTTTAAGAAGGTAACGATATATAAATAAATAAAATATTTTGGACCCTTAGGTGATAGCTGTAATAAAAGCAGGGCTGCCTAGAGCCTTAGGCAACTTAGGCGATCGCCTAAGGCCCCAAAATATTTTACAGTGATCACGAGCCTTATTTATCAGTCATATTCTTCATACGTACTTGTGAAAGGAAAAAGGCACGTGATCACTGTGAAAAATTGTTCATTGTGAGGTGACCGAGTGCAGGTAAGTCCTAAGATATTGGAGTTGGAGAATAGTGGAAGTCAAAGTTAAAGGAATGGCAGGTGAGATATCAAAAGCACTAGAATCGACTACACACAGAGAGAACGGTTTCGAATGCACAAAAACTTGAACCATTTCTCTACGCAAAGGATTGTTCACCTAAAACAGCATAGTCTCCATGTTTTTTTCTAGCTAAGATTTTCTATCTAAAAAATTGCAGTGTCATCTTTTCTGTCTTGCTTTTATTTTTTTCGTTACTTGCTTAAATTTAACAAAAAAAATTGAAAACAGAACCTAAAAGTGCACAGATATATTACTGTTTCATAAACCATTATGTACAAATAAACAATAGCGTGTGGTAATTAAACAAACTTCCCACCTGAATGTCATTTTCGGTAAGTGTATCATGTGCATGACGGTCTGGAATAATTTTTAAGTGCTGGAAAAGTGAACAAAAAAGTTACAGTAAGCATTAACCAAATATTATCTAACTGCAGCTTTTGACAGAAAACCTGTCAGAGTTAAAACTTGAACTCAACCTTTTCAAACTCTACATAGGTCTCTCTGGGTGTTATAGACATCAATGTCGAAAAAGTACATATTGCAGCTTCTTGTTCAAGATAATTAGCACTCATCAACCCCATTGGTCCAAGCAAACTCTGCAAATTAAAACATAACCATCTAAGATGTTAATCACAACGCATATTGTAAGATCATCCTACAACCACAGGTACACAAAACAGGGGTGTTCATGAAGGGTAAAATTACAGGTACAACCACAGGTACGCATAAAGTGTACTACCAAATGAGTTAGAATCATATCATTAAAACTTCTTTCTCAGTATACCCACCTTTGATCGCATATCATACTTCAAACGATGACACCACAACAAATGTCGGAAGCTTATTTAGCAATTATGTCGAAATGGTGCTATATACTGTGAGGGTGCTACTACCTCACATATTTCAGCTATCTCCAATTAATGAATGATGTTGAAATTTTTAAATTGTTTGAACTAACTGTTAGAAAAGAAATCTGCAAGGACAACTATGCTTACAATACACAACGTCAGCAACTCAAAGGTCATGTTCAATAATTTGAGTTTAACTGAAATTAGGATTTAAGATGGGTGAGTGGCGTTAATTGCATTTGCCGGAAGTTGGAGGTGACACTGAGGTGGACATTAAATGAGGCGAGTTGTCAAAGATTGTTCACTCATGTCCACCTTAGAGCCATAAATGCACCACTTAGAAGCGTTATCATCCAAGTTAAAGGTGGCAAAAAGACACAACGAAGCCAAAAACAAAGTAGCATCAAACAATAAGAAAAGATATGAGTGCCTTGTATGCAACCAAGGACACAGATTTACAAAGAACCAAATGGAGAAGAAAGATTCATGTAGCAGATTCCAAAAAGATACCATCGTCAAGTTTAATTCAAGGTTGTCAAAATCGGGATTCTACATAGAATCGTTTTGGACTCGGTAGAATCGGATCGTAAGATTCTACCAACATGTAAAAAAATAATTCAAACTAATTTCTTAAACAATAATGTGTAAAATACAGCAATAAATACCCAAAAAAAAAAAAAAAAAAAAAAAAAAAGAATAATTGTATAAAAATATTATTCTAAAGTCCGAATATAATATAAAATAAAAATCAGAATGGAAAAATAATTCCAACCGAAGTGTGATGGGCATTTTTTGTTTTTTTTGGTGGAAGGTTATACAAGTTTTATAAATAATAAAGAGATATATGTATATAAGCTACAGTTTGAGCTGAAGCAAACTGGCCCAAAGGCCCCAAAAAAATACAAATCAGTTCTAGAGGAGGATAATGATGCCCCACCAAACAAAACAAACAAAATAACAAAAGCGCACCTAATTGTGCAAAATAAATCTTTAAGAGTGACTTTGACAGCAACACTACCGCATGCTTGTCGGAAACCAAGAAAAAAAAAAAGGATGATTCCCTGGTTTTCTGTGATCCTGATGTGTCTCAGATTAGATATTTGAGGTGTATCTTGGCCTGTTTTTAGGCTGTCTCCGGTCTAAAGGTTAATGTGGCTAAAAGTGTGCTTGTTCCGGTTGGTGATGTTCAGGATATCTCATCTTTAGCGGCAGCCCTTGGGTGTAGGGTGAGTTCTTTTCCAATTCCGTATTTGGGTTTGCCTTTAGGGGTTTCCTCTAGAACGGTGGGAAGTTGGGACCCTATGATTAATAGGTATGCAAAGAGATTGGCAAGATGGAAAAAGCAATACTTGTCAAAGAGGGGGAAAGTTACGCTCAAAAAGAGCACTTTATCGAGCCTTCCCACATTTTTTATCTATGTTCCAAATTCCATGCTCTGTTGCTGCTAGGATTGATAAAATTCAAAGGATTTCCTTTGGGGCGGAAGAGGAGAAGAATTTAAGTATCACCTTGTCAATTGGGAACAAGTCTGCAAGCCAATGAAGTTTGGTGGTCTTGGTATCAGAAGACTAGTCCCCTTTAACCAAGCTCTTTTGGGAAAATGGATGTGGAGGTACGGGAGGGAAAGACATCGCCCTTGGCGAAGGCTTGTTTCATGCTAATATAGGGAAGAGAGTGGTGGTTGGTCTACTCGTCTGGTCTCTCTCATGAGAGGAGTAGGAGCGTGGAAATTCATTCGGAAGGGATGGGATGTTTTTTCCACTCATATCAGATTCAAAGTTCGTGATGGCAGGTGCGTACGCTTTTGGGAGGATCTTTGGTGTGGAGACCGGCCTTTATCTTGTTTATTCCCCAGATTATACAGTATTGCAGTTGATAGACATGCCTACGTAGCAGACTGTTATCGGCTTGATAGTAGTGGAATTACGTGGGACGTGCAATTTCGACACTCTTTTCAGGATTGGGAGGAGGACGAGGTATATGTTTTTCTGGATCTGTTGTATCGACAGGAGACAATTGGCAGAGGTTGTGATGATATGAAATGGATTCCCTCTTCCCATGGTTGCTTCGAAGTTCGATCCTTATTCTTATGTCTTTCTGATTTTGATATAGTTGATTTTCCATGGAAGACTATCTGGCGCTCTATGGCTCCAACTAGGGTGGCATTCTTTGTTTAGACCGTTGTATGAGGTAAGATCCTGATGATTGATAATCTAAGGAAAAGGGGTAATTGTCTTGTTAACTGCTGTTGCCTTTGCAAACAAGATGGTGAGTCAGTTGCTCATATTCTCATGCATTGTCCTGTGGCGAAGGATTGTTGGAATCTTATTTTTTGTCTGTTTGGTATGCGTTGGGTTATGCCTCATTATGCTAAGGATTTGATTCGTATTTGGAGAGGATGTCCCGTGCATAGTGCTGTTCGCGATTATTGGAGAGTTGTACCACATTGTATCTAGTGGTGCATTTGGAATGAGAGGAATAGTAGAATGTTCGAAGGGAAAGAATCATCCACGGCGATTCTGAAACTCCATATCATACGCTTTCTTTTCAATTATGTGAAAAGAAAGTCATGCTCCTCTTCCGAAGATTTAATTAATTTTTTGGCTTCTTTGGGGCCTTAAACCCCGGTTCCACTTTTGTATAAGGGATGTGTTCCCCTATTTCACGTCTTTTTAATTCAATTATTACTTATCAAAAATATATATATATCATCATCACTTAGTCCATCGGTCTAGGTGGCGGCAGAGATGCAGCGAAGCCATTTTCTCATTCCTTCATAGCCAGGTGAGCCTCCAATCGTGTCGCTTTGCAAGATGCTTTCTTATTTTGTATCCCAACCATCAAAAGAATGAACCAGCCAACAAAAAAAGGTCTCAAACAAGAAATCAAGTAGAATCAGTGGAATCGCATAGAATCGTGCAATTTTACGATTCTACAAACGATTCCACCAATTCTACATATGATTCTGTCAAGGAAAAGATTTTATTGCGATTTGGGTTGATTTTGGGGGCTGGGATCGTATAATCGTACGACTGTACATTAGAAAACTATCCTTGAAAAACAGAATATGTACGATTCTACGATCCAAAATCGGGATTTTAACAACCATGGTTTAATTGAGTATCTTTACATTAGAAAAGAGACATTGTATTTTTAGAAAGAATACAGCCTCCAATAAATTTAGGAACAATATTAGGAAACCAAAGGATTTTATAATAACTAGTATCTCCAACAAAACTATCCTCGAAAAACAGAATATGCTCCCCAACTAAGGAATGAGAAGGCTTAAAAAAGAGACCTGATAACACATTATCAAGCCCCCAACACCATAACATCCTCAAACAACATCCAAATCTAAACTTGGATTCCAATCATACAAATTGTCTTCAAACATACTTCACACATTATTCCCATAAATAATGTGTTTCTTCATTTTCATTCAATTCATGGTAATTACAAACAAAATCCATTCTTCAGAAGTTTATTCGCTTGTGATCTACACCAGAACTATTTCCAATTTTGAGTCAGGAAACTGTGCAAGCTACTAGCTATATAACTTATAAGGGGGCATACGTATTGCATAACTTCCAAGGACTCTTATTATCTGTAGTTATAATGTGTAACTTACCTGGCACAAATTAGCCATGTTGACCGTAATAAGGCTAATGACATCAAAGCCAAGTGTTTGCAAACACTTCTGGAGCCTCTGCATGGAAGTATAGCCAAAAACAGAATCATCAGACATAATAGATAAATTATCAAAACTGAAGATGTGTCCATGGAAAGAAAGCAATTAATGGCAGAATAAGTTGAATTTAACACACACCTGATACAAAGAAAGTGCACTGATTAAATACACTAGTATTCTGATTTCTACTGGAATTTTGCTATATCAAATTTAATTATGGAAAAAAAGAACTTATTGTATAACTTGAGTTATTGATGTGCCATGTCCCTTTCCTTGATCTTCTCCTAAGAAACCATGTCCAATTAGACGCCAATTCATTTTCTTCTATTTTTTTCTAATATAAAAAAAATTAAAAACAAAAACAAAAAAAAACAAACAAACAAACAAACAAACAGGAAATAGGAAAATATCATTCAGTGAGCTGTAGTCCTCTCAGAGGAAAGTATACCATGTCTAGCAGCATGACTTCCACAATGGAATACACTAAAGCATCAATCAATTCCTTTCAGGAAATAAGATCTGCAGCATAAACAAAATCTCGATAGCAACAACCAAATTGCTAAGAGATGAATTATTGCTAACAGGAGTGCTATTTTCATGGCAGCAGAAAAGTGAAAATCACTTTGATCATCAATCATCCTATTTTTTCTTCTTTACATATGAGACCACACTTGCTCTACTTGCCAGTAAGCTAGTGTAAGACTTGCACAATAACAGACTTGACAGACCCAAGATTTAGTGAATTACATAAATAGGAAATGAATTCAGTTTTCTACTGTTTTCTTTCCTTTCCTGGAATATAATTATTTTCATTAGGCAATAAATGTAAAATATATCTTTGGGGAATTGATAACAAAATAATTTCCAGTGGATGAAATAATAATAACAATAATTCCTAGCTTCACATCCAAGGACTGCATACAGTCACCAAATATATAACAATCCTTTGTGACCAACTGATAAAAGAAAGAGAAGGAAATTAAGTAAAATCCACAGCAGAAGATATTTTGATCCTCGTCTCCAAATATATCCAAACATTACAAGATGGCTTATACCTAAATGATTCTTGTGAGTAGAACTAAACCCTTGCAAATGCCAACATCTACGGTTCCACAGACAATAAACATAATAATAAATTAATCAAGTGATGAGTATAGCTTCAAGGTAATGTATTTTTTTCTTTAATCACCAAGGCACGTGGCCTAGTGATATCTCCTCTCCTTTTAAAGTGAAAGGTGGATGGTTCAAGTTTCCCCAAGAGAACTGTGGGAGTTATTTTCCAGTGAAAATTGTGGTAAGCAACAGCATCAAGGTAATCTAGAAACAAAAGACTGAACATCATCGGTATGCGCTTTATTACAAACAATTTGTAAATTCAAAAACTAGCTCCTGTCAATTGAAGTTCTGCACTCCTAGTTCACATAAGCCTTAAAGATATTTCAGGTTTTTTATCAGAAAATATATTGCATGCATGTACCCTTCTTCATTCTAAAGTATACTGTTCCTTACATATTCTTAAAATTTTACTGTCAATGCAGTCGTATATTACTAGATTCACATATGCTTCTTTGCGGACAACTAAATTAAGAACAGTTACTGATCAATCATAGCAAATGACGTTCAAGGCAATGAGAAAGACTAAGTGAATTCAAAATATCTAATCAAACTCTTTTAACAAAGAAAGAGGGTTACCCTCCACACAGTATCTCGTTTTGCTGTACCAACTAGACAAGGATGATGTGAGCAGAAAATAACTTGCATAATTACAGTTGGAGAAGCAGCCAAAACTGAAGATGATATAGTAACTAGAGCCTTCACCAAAACCTCAACAGACGGAAGGAAAAGAACTTGAGCATCCAACGAATTTTCATCACTAAAGACCCAAAAAAGTAAATATCAAAAGATGGAAAAGTTAAAAGAATTTGTGGAACAAAAAATTATACAGAAAAATCTAGGACTGCAAAGAAATAAGAAAAGTGAACAACACAAATATTTGTGCCATAAGATTTTCTCTTACTAGCATATGAAACAAATGAATTATACTGCAAAAATTATCATTAATCGAAGAGATTTTATCAGGATATCAAATATATTGATTACCAGATGCAATTGCTTCTCCAGGGGAGGATAAAAAGGAGGAACACTTTGAAGTGCCAAAGACGAACAAACTAAGAAAGACTCATCACAAGTACGAGTAATACCTTGTCTTCAGAAAAAGTATCTTTTCTCCAACAACAGAAAGATAATTTGAAAATTCAAGTAATAGAGCTTCAGATAATTGTGGAGAAGTAGCAACAATCTTTTTTGTAGAATCATAAGCCTCCCGACGGATGTCCCAGCTTGGATGGCATAGTAAGTAAAGTACAAACTGCACCATATCAAAAATCAGTTAAAAATAAAATTCTTAACATAGACACGAGGTCCAAGCAAAACTACGCATTGTGCACCTGCAATAGTGATCTCATGGGTACAGTCTCCAACATTCTGCCAAAAATTTAAAAAAAAACTAAAATTACACAAAATTTAAAATATCAGTCTGAAACCTAAAAATAGTTGCAAGCATTTAAAATTGCAATTTATAGATACATTACAAAATTTGAACCTGTGCGAATGCTCCACCAGTAGCACCTTGAGAAGATCAATACATGCCATACAGTCCTCAGCCGGCAGTTTAGAAGCCTGCATAGGAAAAAGAATATACATTTGAGAATTTGAAATTAGAAGTTGTTTCTAAAAATAATTAATCACAAATGTTGTGAAGTTCAATGTTGATGGTGATACATAAAATGACATGCAAGAAATAACAGCAGTTCTTCAAAGAACTACACCCCCGCACCTTCCCCACATCCCCCTAACCGCACACACACACAAACACAAAAGACCCAAAATGTATATTTGGAAAGAAGGGGAGGGGGTTTAAGAAATATGGCAACTGGTATGAAGTGAAAGTTGAGAAAAGAGACCACACATGTTGAACTTGGCAGTTTAAGTAAAAAAATGTTGATCGAACAAAATCCATCTTATAAGTGCTAACCACATAAGAACGGCTGTTACATAAGAAGAGCAGCTCAAATCATTCACTTCACCCCCTGTTATAACAAAGTTGTTGGAATTCACAGCCATAGCAACTGTTACAAAGCAGTGAACGACACTCTTGGTAATGAATATGAAAATCCGTTTCTTTTGTCACACAATTCTTACATTTTAAGCCAAAAACCAGATTTCCAACTACCACTCTACATACTTAGATCTAGCCTCAAAACTTGAATCGAAACTTTGGCACTTTCTTCAATCAGTAAAATTAACATATTGACAATTTTCATTCTTCAATTTATTTATGTCCGATTATGCATAAGTTATGTTTAAAGTTTTTTTTTTTTTTGATAAGTAAATATGTATTAGAAAGCGTTCAAAAGGGGAACGTGTCCCAAGAGATGTACAGAAAACGAAAAAAAGGAAAAAGGAGACCTATGGACCCAACGACCCCAAAGAGTCCATAATCTCATCCAAAGAAATACAATCTCTCCCCATACCCCAACTAAAAAGAGAGCAAAGAATAGCAAACTTCAAAGCCTGATGGAGATCCCCTCCCAATCAAAAGATCTTCGATTGCGTTCTTTCCAGAGACTCCACCAAATACAAAGGGGAGTCACCCTCCAGAAATCACGGACACACGTTCCCACCCTTTGGCCCCTCCAACCATTAATCAAATCCCTTGAAGTCCGGGGCATAACCCACTGAACACCAAAAAGACTTAAAATGAAGCTCCAGCAGTCGTGAGCCACGGGACAATGCAAGAGAAGAAGATCCACAGACTCTCCATCATTCATGCACAAACAACACCGGTTAACGATGACTTGTCTTCTCTTCCTCAAGTTGTCCAAAGTCAAGATCTTGCCCCAAACAGCAGGCCACACAAAGAAAACCACCCTAAGGGGAGCCTTTGAGTGCCAAACCGTTTTCCACGGGAAGGTGGAGCCTCAAAACCCTAAAAGCCGGTAAAAAAAGGACCGGACTTGAAACATCCCCTGTGGAGAAAGCACCCAAGTCAAGGAGTCCAAGCCAGTGTCGTCCACCTCCTGCCTATATAGAAGATCTAGCAAACCAGTGACGTCATCCAACTCCCAATCCTGAAAGGATCGTCAAAACTGCACATCCAAAGACAACCAACCGCTATCAAGGCGATGGTGGTCAGCAACCAAAGCATGTCTATCAACAACAATCTTGAACAACCTTAGGTACAAACAAGACAAAGGACGGTCCTTGCACCAAGTATCCTCCCAAAACCAGATATCCCTTCCTTCCCGAACTCTGAATCTAATGTGCTTAAAGAACTCATCCCAACCCCTCCCAATAGATTTCCAAACCCCCACACCGACAGCAGACCTGACCAGCCTAGCTGACCATCCCCCCCTCTTCCCCAAACCGACAAGAAACAACCTTCCTCCATAACCTAAGACGTTCGCTACCGAATCTCCATAACCACTTGCCTAGGAAAGCCCTGTTAAAGGGGGCCAATCTCCTAACCCCTAGGCCTCCCAACCTAAAGGGCCTTGCTCCCATCGAACAAGATGATACTTAAACTACCACCCTCTACCGCCCCACAAAAAGTTCCGTTCAAGTATCTCAAATCTTCCAACAACAGAAGAGGGAATCTGGAAGAGCGAAAGGAAATAAGTTGGAAGACTGGATAAAGTGCTCTTCACCAGAGTAACTTTTCCCCCCTTCGAAATTCCACCTAGCCAACTCAATCACCAGGTCCTAACTTCCCGCCCCCCTTTACGAGACACCTAAAGACAAGCCTAAATAAGAAATAGGGAAGGAGCTCGTCCCACACCCTAAAACAGCTGCGGGAGACTCCACCTCCTGAATATCCCCCACAGGGACAAGCACACTCTTTCCTATGTTAACTTTCATCCCAGAGACAGCCTGGAAGCAAACAAGGACACGTCGCAAATATCTCAAATTATGACACCTCTGCCTCACAAAAAACCAAAGTGTCATCCGTAAAGAGCAAATGAGAGATTTCCAACTAATAAGTTGCGTCTGAACCAATCTTGAAGCCCCGCATGAACCCCAAGTCCACAGCCCTCCTCATTAACCTACTAAGAGCCTCCATAACAATAATGAATAGAAAAGAGGAAAGAGGGTCCCCTTGCCTCAAACCACAAGAATTGCCAAAAAACCCGGATGGAGACCCATTAACCAACACCGAGAATCTGACAGACGAAACGCAAGTTTCAATCCATCGCCTCCATCTCTCTCCGAAGCCCATCCTCTCTAACATATAAAACAGAAACTTCCAATAAACATGATCATAGGCTTTCTCGATGTCCAGCTTGCACAAAACTCCAAGACTCCCGCTACTGAGCCTAAAATCCACACATTCACTAGCAATAAGGGCGGAATCCAGGATCTGTCTACCCCCAATAAACGCATTCTGAGATTCTGAAATAACTTTGTCCAAAACCTCCCTCAATCTTAACGCAAGGCCTTTAGCAATAAGCTTATACATACACCCAATCAGACTAATGGGTCTAAAGTCCTTTACGTCAGTTGCCCCTCCCTTCTTAGGGATACGAGCAATAAAAGAAGTGTTCAACGACTTTTCTAACCTCCCATTAGAATGGAACTCATGAAAAGTGCCCATAACCTCCTGTCTAGCCACCTCCCAGCTCTCCAAAAGGAATCTCATAGTGAAACCATCTGGACCTGGAGCCTTGTCACCATTACAACTCCTCAATGCCATAAGAACCTCCTCCTCCGTAAAGGGTCTCTCAAGCCCATCCCTATCCTCCACTGAAATAGAATCAATATGAAAACCATCAAGACTTGGCATCCAACGAAGAGGCTCAGTGTACAACCTCTAATAGAAAGAAACGATCCCCGTACGCACTTCCTCCTCAGAACTCAACATTGTTCCGTCCATACACATCCGCCCAATGTGGTTGCCCCTCCTATTGGCATTAGCAGTACGATGAAAAAACTTAGTATTATGGTCTCCCTCTTTGAGCCACAAGGCCCGAGATTTCTATCGCCACGAGATTTCATCCATAACCGCAATTTCAACACATTCTATCTGACAAGCTACTTTCCTATTACGTTGAGACTCAACAAGACCACACACTACTTCCAATCTGTCCAACTCTGCAATGTCAGCAAGGGCCTTATACTTCCTCCATTCCAGATTACCGAACACCTCCTTATTCCATTTTTTGAGCTTGTCTTTTAGAAGGCGAAGCTTTCCTGCTAAAATAAAGCTCAAAGTTCCCACCACCATGTCCTCCTCCCACCAAGACCGCACCAACCCCTAAAAATTCACCGCTCTAAGCCACATGTTCTCAAATCTAAAAGGGGTACAACATGGACTCAACCCTCCACAGTCCAAAACCAAAGGAATGTGATCTGACGTGACCCTAGCCAAAGCAACCTGAACAACGTCCGGAAACTTCTCCTCCCACTAAGTTACATCCACATAGATTGTTGGTAGTTTTTCTTCAAGATTTTCTGATCTACAGTTCTACCAACATAGTTTGAATTTTCTTCAATAGGCAAATTACTTATATTAAACATATAAAAAAATTCAAAAAAATAAAATAAAACATTGATCTCCCCTGATAATTAACAAAAATATACATGCTACCATTGTATTTTCAAAAATTACCTCAATTGGAATCCAGTCGTTGTCACATGAGCACTTTTAGAGGAGGCTCACAGGCTAGAAGAAGCAATACCTTTTGAAGGGAGGGCAACTAACCCTTATAAAGAGTACCTTGACAAGTCTGCCAACTTATTTCAGATTCTATCGTCAGTTGTGAAGAGAATTGAGAAGGTCCAAAGGAACTTTCTGTGGGGCACCATGGGCGAAGAATTCAAGTACCACTATGTGAGTTGGGAGCAGGTGTGTAGTCCTATTCAGGTGGGGAGACTGGGAGCTAAGAGGTTGGTTCCGTTAAACAAAGCTCTGTTGGGCAAGTGGCTGTGGAGGTTCTGTGGAGAGAAACAAACTTTGAAGGAAAGTTATCATTCTAAGTTCGGCTGTAGAGATCAGTAAATCATCTTCTTTTGCATTTTCCAGTGACTTGGGATTGTTAGGCCATACTTTTTGCCTTGTTTGGGGTTCACTAGGTCATTTTAAATACCATGTTTGGCGTGCTCGAGGCTTGGAGAGAATGCATAAAGGGGAATCAAGCTTGAGGCTTTGAGAGGACGTATAATGGGGGATCAAGCCCGTGGTGTTTCGAAGGAGACCCCCCTTTTTTTATGGTGGGGCTAGTGGAAGGAGAGAATTTGATGAAGAGGACACTCCTATTGGGGTGCTTAAATTCTCTAAATATTAGTTCTTTATTCTCTTGGGTTCTTGGGAGGACTTGTAAATCTGTGGAGGAATTAGAGGATTTTGTGAATAGGTTGAGTGTCCCCAATTGTTCCTTCAACAGTTGCTTTCAAGATGCGCTCTTTTCAGCGCACTTTAATGTTATTTTACTTGCCAGAAAAAGATTGCACTATGCTACAAAACCTCCCCTCCCATAAATTTGGGATCAAAACCAAATTCACTGACATCAGGAAGCAAAAATACATATATGCCTGTTTTGCCATTCTAATGAATGTAAAAACAATATTACCCTTGGAGGTGTCTTCGCTTGCTGCGGATTTAGGATGTGGAGCGAGTTCCTTCCCTATTGTTTATCTGGGCTTGCCTTTGGCTGCTTCGTCTAGGAGGGTGGATGTTTGGGATCCAGTGATTCAGTGTTTTGAGAGAAGATTGGCTGGATGGAAGAAGCAATATCTTTCGAAGGGCGGGAAGGTTATCTAGTGAAGAGTATTTTGTCTAGTCTCCCAACATACTTCCTTTCCCTCTTCCAGATTTCCATCCGCTATTGCTGGAGGACTCCAAAGTCTCCTACAGAACTTTCTCTGTGGTGGCCGGGGGGGAGGAGTTCAAGTATCATCTTGTCAGGTGGGAACAAGTTTGCAGGCCTCTTCAGATGGGCGGTCTTGGGATTAGGAGGTTGATCCCTTTTAATAGGGCATTCCTTGGGAAGTGGTGGTGGAGATTTGGTAGCGGGAGGCATCGTTTATGGAGGAGGGTTATTTTGTGCCAGTTTAGGGAGGAGAGGGGGATGGTCTTCGAGGCCGGTTAGATTTGCTGCTGACGTGGGAGAGTGGAAATACATTCGAGAGGGATGGGATAAGTTCTCTAAGCATATTAGGTTCAGAGTTCGAGAGGGCAGGGAGTGTGGTGATCGCCCGTTGTCTTGGTTGTTCCCAAGTCTCTTTAGGATAATTGTGGATAGACATGCTATAGTAGCATACTGTTATCGGCTTGATAGAGGTAGGCTTGCGTGGGATGTGCGTTTTCGACGATCTTTTCAGGATTGGGAACTTAATGATGTCTCTGGCATGCTGGATCTGTTGTATAGACAAGAGGTGGACGGTAGAGGGTCTGATTCCTTGGTTTGGGTGCCCTCACCTCAGGGGAGGTTCGAAGTCCGTTCTTTGTTCCTCTACCTCGCTGAATTTCATGGTTCAAATTTCCCGTGTAAGACGGTTTGGCGTTCGAAGGCTCCTCTCAAGGTGGCCTTTTTTGTTTAGACTGCAGACTGGACAATCTGAGAAAGAGATGACGAATCACAATCAATTGGTGTTGTCTGTGTAAAAATGATGGAGAGTTTGTGGATCACCTTTTGCATTGCCCTGTGGCTCACGACTATTGGAGTCTTATTTTTGTTCTTTTTGGCATTCACTGGGTTATGTCTCGGTCTTCAAGAGATTTGATTGAAGTTTGGAGGGGCCACAGTGTGGGGGCTCACGCGTGACTGTTGGAGGGCGACCCCCCTTTGTGTTTGGTGGAGTATTTGGAAAGAGCGAAATAGAAGATCTTTTGACGGGGAGAAATCCTCCATTGGGGCACTGAAATTTTCTATTATTAGTTCACTTTTTAGTTGGGTGATGGGGAGAAATTGTACATCTTTAGATGAAAGCGTGGATTTTTTGGGGTCCGTAGGACTTACTTTTGGCTTCGATCCTTGTACAACTCTTGAGATGCTTTCCCCTTTTGAACGCTTTCTAATACAATTTTACTTATCAAAAAAAAAAAAGCAATATTACCCTAGCTTTTGGAAAAGAAATGGCTTTATTGCAATTATTTTAAATTCATTAAATACTTTTTAATTACCAAAAGTCAAAGTCCACATTAAATAAAATGATTGTTCTATATAGTCTCTTACTCCTTTTTTCTTATTTATACCGAATTTATCTCTCTGCAAAACTCCTTTTTTTTCTTTTTTGGATAAGTAAACTTATCTTCTCTCTCTAAAAAGAAGAAACCCATTGTCTGTATATTAACATAAACCAAACCCATGAAAAGTTCTTTTCCTTTTTCTCATATTGTATGTATATATGCATATATGTGTCATATTATTACATCATTTTTAAAATTGATGGGCTCTCTCTCTCCTCCAAATTTAAACCAACTTAAATCAGCTATGATCTCTGATTCTCTAATCGCTCTAAAATGCCACAATTAGAACCAGATGAAAACCCTGTCCCTACTTCTAGACCACCCTCCTATACCCAATTGCACTTCCCTCCTTTCGGACAAGCTTTTCCTTATTATCTTCTCCAAGCTCCCAGAGTGTACCACATCTCTAATTCTTTGGTTTGCAAGCGATGGTGAAGTAGGGTTAGGGTTTCACAGATTTGGAAAGGTCAATCCATGTTGAAGATTTGAAATGAACATTTATATATATGTGGTATTTCAATATATATGTGTACACATATTAAGTGTGAATATGAGGTCGGAGAGCCTTTTCCACATTTACATCTAAAATATGTGTCTTGGTGATCCTAATCCTAATCGTGGTGCAACCAAGAAAAGAAGACAAAAGGCAATACGTGAACTATCTGAAGTCTTCTCAATGCTATTGTGCAACTTTATGGAGACTTACAACTTTGAAGTAGGTGATTCAATTTACCTTACTATGAACATGTTGTTATTCACCCCAACATTAAGTATTTAGAATTACTCAAAGGTCAATGCAATTTTCAACTATTATCGTAGAGCTATGTAGAAGCACGCTCACCTGATTATTTATCCTAGATCTTCCTCACCAGGCTATTACTAAATGAAATCCTGTGAGGACAATGTGTCTGGATCTTTCACACATATACTTCCTACAGTCTAGGAGGAACCTAAATGATGTGACATCAAGTCCTAGTATTAATTTCAATATCAATACGAACATCCTCTAAATCTTTTTGGTCGTGAATGTGTCATATAGCTAAAGGTAATCTTCATTGTGCCCTCTTTTATTATGTATTTATGTGATATTCAGAAATGAGAATAGCACTTTGATTAAACATGCATTATTGAAATACTTTTATATACTTTAACGTTTAAAGGTATTTCCAATTTTTTTTTTTTTGATACGTAAATGTATTTCCAATTATGTAAGTAGTGAAACGTAAAACTTATTACTAAGGATTGTAGCCTAGTAGTATCTACTCTACCTCCCAAGTGGAGGGCAAAGTGACTGACAGCTTTTTTAAAATTCAATGGAGAACCATCACCATACTAAATAATTTTTACAAATTCATCAAAATGCATTAAACTTACTTCAAAATCCAAATGTACAGAACATGAAGATTAAAGATATGTAGCGGAAGATTTTTACTGAGATTTCGACAAGGAAAAATAATTCACGGTTCCAGCCTCATTACCATCTTGTTAAGGCATTACAACCAGGATCTACTCCATCGCAAACATTAGCGTTATGTTGGCCATTATTAGTATTCGAAACAGTGTTCATATGATATTATGACCAACAAAAGATTCGTATCCAGATGGACTTCAAAACAAGACTTTTTCTTTTAATTTTTCCCCTTTTTTTCTTTTTGGCAAAGCAACAAAAAAACCACTCTATGCATTGAAGGATGGATAGCACATTCAGGGAAAATTGGATAAGGCACAAGCATAGATAAAACTTGTATTTTTAAAGAATGCTAGCAGAAGTTGATGAATAATTTGCCATGGCAATTGGTACAAGTGAAGGTTCATTCTGAGATATCAATGACATTAGTATTCAAAACAGTGTTCATATAATATTATGACCAACAAAAGATTCGTATCCAGATGGACTTCAAAACTGACTTTTTCTTTTAAATTTTCCCCTTTTTCTTTTTGGCTAAGCAACACAAAAACCACTCATGCATTGAAGGATGGATAGCACATTCAAGGAGAATTGGATAAGTCACAAGCATAGATAAAACTTGTATTTTTAAAGAATGCTAGCAGAAATTGATGAATAATTTACCATGGCAATTGGTAGAAGTGAAGGTTCATTCTGAGATATCAATGACCAAACCTTCTCCTTCGATACAATCTCATCTGGAAAAAAAGTACAAACCATTTTGACAATAAGCACATAAAAGGGGGGAAAAAAATTTATCCAATAAGAACGCAAAAAGTGATGTAGGTGTTATTAATTGAATTTGTCATTCAAGATAAACCTGCTTTGATATCGACAGCCGCAATTTTTGCAACACAAAGCAACGCATATATGCCATCCAAACGCTGTGCCACTTTTGTAAAACCAGTTTTTACAAGTTGGACAAGAGGCACCAGCAAAGATGATATCTGAGTATAAATTATTATAAAAGTTCTAATTAAATGAACAGAACAGCTTTAGACAAATTTCATTCCACAAGAAAACAGAAAGTAAATTCCTTGATTTCCTCACCTTTATAACAACTTCAGCATTTCGGCACATGACTCGTAGGCAACGAAGATGACCCCTTCTTAAAGCTTCCTTCTCCTTGAGGCCAGAAGCAAGGAAAGAAACTACATCTGGCTGAATAGCCTCTGCAGACCTTGCTGCCCAAGAAGCTATAGCCGACAAACTTGCAAGCTTTACCTCTTCATTTCCTGAAAATTACAAAAGTCAGTAACCCCAATATGCAGATTCTAGGTAAAAGGAACAACACAAAATGCAGAAAACAAAAAAAATTAGACAGAACTTCATATTCAAAACCACCAAACAAAACACATATATAAGGAGATAATGAAGTAGAGAGTTACCATCATCAGTGTAACAAGATAAAAGAAAGCCACATATAGTTGCTGACAGGCTATTGAGACATTTTCCTTCAGGGGCATTAGATAATTCTTGCAGTGCATTGATCATGCCAACTCTCTGGTACGGAAATGCAAGTCTTCCTTCAGAACCTGTTCGCAATGCACCTTAAATTAAAAAGATGGCCAAAGTTTCACACAAACACATTTGAGGCATAGCATGCATAAATCCACTAATGGGTTCCATCAGCAAAAAACTGAATCACACAAACCTCCGATTACAGCTTTCACAGCACTAAACATTGCTTCTACAGCATCTGGGTTACTAGACTTTTGGCTCAAACACCCTACTATAGCTAACGCCCAGAGCCTTCTTCCTTCATCAGCATGGCGAACCTGTGGTAATATTACTGAAAGAATCTCGATAGCATACTTACTCAAATCAAGGTTGACGGATTTCAAAAGAACCCCAACTGATTCTAACACAAGTTCAGGGTTGCGTTTTAACATTTTAACAGATGATGGAACCACAATATTCTTAAAATCCTCATGCAACAAATGAGTGAACAGCGGACGAAAAGCTTCACTCAGATCCTTAGCTGGCTTTTCCCTTGCATTTAAAACCGCTTTAACATACATATCAAGAAATATTTGCTGTAAAACACAAAATAACACATTAGAAAACAATAAACATATACAACAGAAATATACCAAGTATAATCTAGAACTCTAAAATCTCATGCTCCAACAAAAACATTAAGAATATCTCTGCTCATACAACAGGTGAAGAAAAAAAATTAAAAAATCTTACCTTCCATTCTGCAAATAAAGATGGAATTGAAACTGAAAACTCCAGTATAAACCGTATTAGCTCCGGACAATCTTTATATGGGATCCTTGCATCCTTTAGTTCTTCCATGTAGAATTTGAGGATATCAGGTGACTGAAAAAATATACAAATAGAAGACAAATAAAATTTAAAATTAGAAAACCAGAACATAATTTAATCAAAACCAGGAGAAAGTTATTAGGGTCAACCTCAGAGAATAAATGATAAAATGTTTGCTTGCAAGCCCTTCGCTCACGAAAAGATCCTTGCATGGCAATATGAAGTACTGATGCTTGTGCTGCAGCTACTCTGCATAGTGCATTTTTTGATACCGAGGCAAACTGACTCTTAGTTAAAAGAAGACATGACCACTTGAGAAGTCTATAGCAGCCTACAGGGGATTGGAACTTTAATTGCTTTTCCATGACCTGTACAAGGGTTGCTGCGAAACTTTTCATAAATATAACCTCACGTAAAGCTTTTGTGATCAGATCATCAACAGCTTTCCTGGATCCCCGATCATCATAAATAAACAATGTTTTGAAAATGATATCTACCAATACCGACGTAAGCTCAGTAGACATCACTGCAGAGTCAAAACGAAACATACTTCAAAAGACATTTATCAATGAATTGCAGTTCAACTATCAAGACTTAACTAAGTAGCACATATGTGCCTAAACGGATCCTTAGCCATGTCAGACGTGTCTCAAAACACAGATGCAGCAGAAATATATGTCTAGGCACAAGTAAAAATGTACAGTTGTTCATATATTAGAAAACAAAAGGAATGAATCATATTAATGATGAAAATTTATCTTGGATAGAAAGAAAGGGTAGAAAAATGTCTCATAGAATTAATTTTCTATATGAAGCAAGGTATTCTGGAACAACTAAGGAAAAAAATAATAAGAGAGGAAGTGGTGACCCTTTGTATACTTTTTCTTAAACTGTTGCTCTATTCGTATCTATTTATCCTTACCAATGCTCCACAAAAAGGATATTGGTAACCCCACCGTTAGTTACTTCTTTTACAAATTTCATAGTAATAGAAATAAATGTCCTACCAAGACAGATTTTGTAACTTGCTGTCCTCTCGCCTAGCACGCAACAATTTACCTCCGTGGAAATGATGAAATAATGATTCTTTCGAAAAAGATCTGCAAAGTTTGAGTTCTAAATTGATAGTGGTATTCTTTTCTAGTAATTGGTGATGGCACTCTTATATGCCAATTTACTAACACCATATGCAGATTTTTTTTTTTTTTTGATAAGTAACACCATATGCAGATTTGAAATCAGTTAAGACACTTGGACTGCTAACCACCTAAGGGCTCGTTTGGCATAGCTTTTACTTATGCTTTTATACAGAAGAAGAAGAGAAGTAGAAGCGATCACTTCTTTTTGGCTTATTTGATAGTGTTTGGGAACTGCATTTTAGAAGAGCTTTTAATGTTAGAAAAACTTTTTTGTCTGTTTGGCAAAATGCTTACTAAAGCTCTTCTACTACTAATATAACTATTTTGCCCAATGAAAGAAGGTTCCAAACAATGACCATCCCAACAACTGTAACCAAAACTATGATATTAACAAACATATCATTTGTGAAAGAACAAAATATGTCACACATCTATCATGAAAATGATTTTATTTCTTTTACATTGTTGTTGGCTATAAAATGATCTAAATAACATTCTTTTACATTTTTTATTAATTTCACTATAAGGAAGTCATTCATACAATTAATTATTTAATTATTTTTCTTTCTTTCAGTTTTTTCAACATAATATATGTAACTCATTTTATAAATTCTTTCTTCTATAGTGTTTTGAGAAATTGATATATGGAAGGAATTTTTTTTAAAATACAACAACGCTTTACATACAAGTTCACCTATTTTTCAATTCAACTTTGAGGTGAAAAAAAGAAGAAGCTAAAGATGGAAAGTTTTTTTTTTCTTCATTTTTTTGGTTAGTACACCTTGGTTGCCATAGAAAGATTCTGAGGACGCCTTTACATACATGTTCATTTTGATGTGAAAAAAAAGCTAAAGATGGAAAGTATTTTCCAATTCAATTTTGAGGTGAATAAAAAGCTAAAGATGAAAAGATTTTTCTGTTCTTCATATTTTTTGGTTGACCGTGGTTGTGCAAGTTGAAAGAGTCATTAGCCCAACCTATGGAGTTTATTTTCATAACTATCATCAAGTAAATCATATAAAATATACACATATATTACCCGTATATACCCACAGCTTCGCAAAACTGAGAGAAAATAAAATTGAAGGCAAAAACATATAATGGCAATGTATATGAGAAAAAGGGAAAACAAAAAACCAAAATCATGAATGAATCGAAATATAAATTGCAATAGCAATAAATATATATATATATATATATATATATATATATATATTGATATTGTTCTCACTCATCGTTCGACAAAATCTAACCAATCTGATTCATGATAAAACTTAAAATAATACTATATTTAGGACTTATTTGTCCAATGGAAAAAATACAGAGTACCCAGCTTTGAAATCTTGAGGATGAGAAAAAGGAGAGGAGGAACCTGTTACTATGCGAACCAGATGAAAGAGACCATCTGTGATGCGATTAGGTTTCTTCACATATATAGGGATATAGGCGGAATACTTTATTTTTTGTTCACAAATATGGAGGGCACGCTTGGTATTTTGAAAGCTTCATTAAACCCCTTAACAGCTTCCCGTGTCTTTGAAAAAAGAGCGTTTTCTAAGACTCAAAAGCTCTTTTAAAAATTTAGCCAAACACTACTCAAAACAGCTTCCAACCCCAAAAAGCTAAAGCAGCATTTCAAAAGCCAATCCAAATGGGCCCTAAGTCACACAATTATTCTAAACTGGTGCCGCTCTTACGTTCTATGCGCGCTCTCTCACTCCGCACACACTCTTGCTTTGATTCTCATTGTGTGACTTATATTTTGCCGTTTTCGCGCTCCCACTCCCGCTTTATGTGACTTAGCTAATCACAACTCACTGTAGTTGATCAACCCAGTCAATCATATAGCAAGGAGTGTCCTAAGCAGCTCCAATATTTGTGGAACCAGTAAATCACTACTCTCCAATTTTGAGCAACCCAAGTTAAATTTGTAGCACAGATAACAACCCATGTCACATAGTATACAAACATCAGGATGCAAAAAATCTATTGCACAGCAATAGTGATAAGTAAGTTGACACAGACATGCAACAGAGATACAATTTGTATTGATATATACAAGTTCCATACTAACAATCGCATAACTCAAAAAGATAGGGATCGACAAACAACATAGTATCACACTAATTTAAGTCACACCTATATCATACCACGTTTCTACAATTATAATCCTTTTTCTATTAAAAAATTCACATTGCATGCTTTACTTGCTTGTTTCTTGTGCAAAATAGTACTCGTCTTTTAAAAGGAAAAAGAACTTCACATATATAGCTTGTGCACAACACGTTCCTGCTAACATTTAATTATAAAAGTCTCGAATTCAATTTTATTTGTTAGCAACAAAAATAAAAATCAAGTGCATATCATTAATCATCGATTTACATCTCATATTGGTTTTTAAACAATTTTGGTAAACAATATATTCTACCTACAACCTCATCCCTACTAGATTTAAATCAACGTTAGTAAACCGACCTTTGGACATTAACATCTTAACTAGCTTTCTTAGACCGGTGCCTCTTAATAAGTGTCCATGCTTTGTCACCAATCAACTAGGTTATCTTTAAGATCTTACCCTTGTCATTTCATTTATGGATTCCTACTAAGTTTTCAAAGCCCCTCTTTCGATTCCTTTGGCGTCTCCACCTCAATCAACCCGAACGGGAGGCACCTCGCAGAAGATCTCAGTATCAGGGGCAACAAGACCATACTCGTGAAGGATATGGCCAGAGGTGTATATAGGTTTTTCCATATGCAGTTCCAGAGACCAAGGCATGTCTATCCGTGGCAATCCTGAAGAATCTGGGAAGAGTGAGAGCAAGAGAGCGATCGACAGACCATACTTAACTTTAAATCAACGTGAGTAAACCTAACCTTTGTTATTAACATCTTAACTAGCTTCCATGACAAGAATCGCAACTAAACTTTGTGATCTCTTAGGCATAAATTAAAATCAGAAATAATAAATATATATATATATATATATATTGATCAAGCAAAGAAATAGATTAAGTGCTTAAATCTGACTAAGACATGCAATTTTCATACTTCTACAATCTAAAGACTTGAACTTCAATTAGTTTTATAACAAAAAGGGTAGATTCAGAATAGAAGTTCCTCTCTAGTCTTTAATGGAAAACTCCATGAAAAAATAAATCAGAAGAATTAGATTTAGAAGTATATTTGATTTAGAAATAATTTAAAAGTTGTTGTCGAATTATATGTGAGGGTGAGCCTTGGCACAATGGTAAGGTTGCTCCATTGTGACTTGGAGGTTACAGATTCGAAAACAGAAACAGCCTCTCCATGTGAAAGTAAGGCTATGGACATCTCACCCTCCCCAAACACCGCAATCAATGGCGGACACCTCGTGCACTAAGCTAGCCCTTCTTTTTTTTTGGTTGTTGAACCACTGTAGCAACAAATCATAACCATGGTACAACATTAATTTCAATTCAACCGATATTTTGGCACGTTAAATTGATGAACTGAGAATTGCATCGCAATTAATGTATCCGTATAAGAATTACAGACCCTAGGGATATCACTTCATAACCAAATTGTTGTACTTACAAAAAAGAAAAAGAAAGAACGACCCCAAAGAGTCGAGCCATGTTTTTATCGAATAGAGTTGGGTTAAGAACCACAAATATATATATATATAATAATTATTAAATATGCATCTTGTATTAATGGTTGCACCTCATCTGAAACTTCCTAACATAAAAGAAATTAATAAACACAATCAATCCTTATCAACTCTAATTTTAACCGAAGAAGCCCAACCCTTACCATAAGACCATAACCCTAATTCCCCTCCTTTCTAACTGCAAACCCTTTATACTTTTTATTTGTAACCTAGAAAACACAGCAAGTTTTTCCTTCTGAATTCACATCACAACCAACCATCAAATTGACCCAATTTAATACTCATTCTATCTAACGTTGCAGTTTGCAAATGAATAGAGTTGTTCATGAACAGCTCCGGATCGACTCATTTAAGCTCGATTAGGGATTGTACATTAAGTAGACAAGTCGAGCTCGAGCTCGATTTTTGATCTCTTTTTACAAACGAACCAGACCAAACATTGTTAGGCTTGTCACGTGTAGGCTCATGAACACTAAACTTGTGTAGGTTCGCATGCATTCATAAACACGTTCATAAACATAGGCTTGTATGGGTTCATGAACATATGTTAATACATGAGCATAGACTCATTAACATACATTCATGAACATAGGCTTGTGTAGGCTTGTATAAGTTTAAGAACAAACCAAAGCAATCTTGAACATGAGCCCAAACCAAGCCTGAACACGAATATGGTATTGAGGTCGGCCTTTTTTTAAATAAATAAGTCGAACCGAGCCCAAGCTTTTCAAAATAATGATGAGTTGAGCCCAAGACCAAGCTCAGCTTTTTGAGCTCGTCACGATCCCTAACTGAGTCAGAGCTAAACCCACGAACAAACAAGCTCAGCCAATACAGACTAAAGCTCGGCTCGGTTCATTTATAGCCCTAATTCCATCCCTAAGCCTTAATGATCTCTCTTCTAAAGTATAAACTCGGCAGAAAAGAAAAGGCCTAGTGCACCATTATTTTGTGATAGGTAAAACTGATTCCCCTTACGACTCCATCCTATATCATTATGAATCCCGTATTCCCATGACATGGTGAGGATAATAAGAAATTCCAACAAAAATAACTACACCTTTTTGAATACCTTCATGGGTTTATTACACTAAAGTTAAGGCATGTCCAAAATACAACCCACCCAATATAATTCAATTAATTATACAGGCATCCCACCAACAGGCTAGTGATCTAGCGGTACCAGGCCCCTGCTTTCCAAAGGGAGGTCAAGGGTTCGAGCCTCAGTGGAGGCATGTGTGTGAGAGTACCAACTAAGAAAAAAAATTATACAGGCATCCCTTCTAGTTTGGAAATTACCACTCTCCACCCATTAATGGGCTGTTTATATATATATATATATATATATTAATCATACCATGCTATGAATTTTATTTTTTTAATATCAATTCTATGGTTTCTACCTTGATAAGAATCAGTCAACCTAAAGTAATTCAATTACCAGTCAAATAATAAATAATACTGCCACTAGTCATCTAAGCCTGGGTACTTACCTTATCCTACTCCCCTCATTCTCGACCAACCTAAAACAAGTCATGCAATCCCAACCCCAAATCTAACTTCTAAAGACTATGGTCACCATAAAGAACACCACTGAGCAAGCACCAGTCAATACCTAAAATAACAGACCACATTTACATTACCAGCCCGTTACAAGGGTATAAGCATCAGGACAGACATAAATCACACTATGATTATCTCTAAAATTTCTCCTTTTTTCCAAATCAACTTCAAATTTTGAACAACATGTGTTATGCTTTATTGATATGTGTTTTAATTGAATGAAATCATGTCACATGGGGTATAGGGATCTTTGTTTCTACGGTGTCGATGATGGGCATTAGTGGGGCCATTGGTGGTCGGTTCTTAGATCAGTTACAACTGTAGAAAATGAAAAAAAAAAAAAAATGCTAAGGATTTGGCATTGTGGCAATGATCATCAAAATAGCCAATGTTTCACTTTATATGGCAGAGCTCTCAGGCAACGCAACATTGTTTATCTTTCTTGTAATCGCCTATGTGATAATCATAGTGTGATCTTTGTTATGCTTTATTGATGTGTTTTAATTAAATGAAATCATGTCACATGGGGTATAGGGATCTTTGTTTCTACGGTGTCGATGATGGGAATTAGTGGGGCCATTAGTGGTCGGTTCTTAGATCAGTTACAACTGTAGAAAATGAAAAAACAAAAAAATGCTTAGGCTTTGGCTTTGGCATTGTGGCAATGATCTTCAAAATCGCCAATGTTTCACTTTATATGGCAAAGCTCTCAGGCAACGCTACATTGTTAATCTTTCTTGTAATCGCCTACGTGATAATCTATGTCACATAGACTCGACATGGGTATGAGAACGGAATATGTGTTCAACAAACGTATCCGATTTGAACACACAGCACCTATATATGTGATGATGGAATGAGAAGAAGAGCTTAAAGTTTGATGGCAAATAACGATTTCCTACTTGTAATATAAATGAAATCCCCCTTTTCAACTTCATTCAATGTAATTATAATTATAATTGAGTTTATTTTTATAGAACAATAATATCATATGTTAATAGTACTAGCACAATATAAAATGCATCTTATGTTTAGAACATGTCTAGGTACCCATATCATTTGAAACCACATCCACATACCTCAAGATTTGGGATGTAAAGAAGGTCCTACTAAAATCCATGTAGATATAGATAATACTTAATAGTGATAATACTTATAGAGGAAAAAATGAAAAAGGGGAGAGAGAGAGAGAGAGGGGGGGGGGGATAAAAATAAGAAGAACATGAAGTATCTAACATTAATTCTTAAATATACGATTCAATCTTCTCATGTCTAATATATGATGAAAATTTGCACTCTCATAACTTTCACTAAACCAAATAACTTCTTAGAATTTTTGTATCAACCTCGTTCCTCCATCCAAAAATTCAGTATAAGTAGAATTATGAAAGGCTATAGTAACTAGAACTTGGCCTAAAGGTAGAAAAGCAAGGCCAGTTCCATTATATATATATATATATATATATATATATATATATATCACACAAACAATATAATAATGGAAAATGAATGGGTGGAATCGCCTTTGACCAAAGTACACCAATCAAATAAATGAATAAGGCATTTGATTAGCAGAAGATCAACTGTATTTATGGTATAGAATGCTGGCCGAGTGTAATCAATATGTAGATGTTGAAAATGAGTGGCAAAATAAGAAAAAATTGTATGAAGCTAAGCATAAGAGGCTCAAGAAAAGAAAATTCAAAGAAGAAAACGAAATTAAAATTTCACTCAGTTGCAAGGCAAGAACCACTCAAGCCCTTGCATAATCATGTGACATGTATTAAGTTTAGGTGGACTTCTGTTTATGTCTTCTAAGGATATTGTTGCCGAAAGGATATACTGGCACAGGATATTGAATTGAAGCAATATAGTTTTTATTTGTCAATTAATAGTTAACCATGCACTACTTGAATTCAATGGAAATCATGATAGAGATCCACACTTCAAATACTGGACCTCCTTACAATTATTGTGACACAACCCTAACGCCAAACTGAATGACCCAAAGGATTCTATCTTCTTTGTTGCAAACAAAATATTTATTGTCAACAAGCAAACTATTTAGTGTAAATTCAGAACAGCCCCTATTCCTTTTCCTTCTATATATTATTTTCAACCTAAAACACCAATTCATAACCCTAAATCAGTTTGTGACCAATGAGCCTTCTCTATAAGATGATTAGGTAGTTTTCACAATAGACCAATAACTAAACTGGGGACGAGAGAATGGCTAGGTTAGACTAAAGGACAAAATGAATTGAAATAGCAACTAGTAAGGAAAAACATAGAGCTACGATTGCTAGTTAACCAATGATATGATGTACGCAAGTCCCGTTGTCAACCAAGCATCTCCGTTCTATGGAACACGGAGATGCTTGTCTCTCCGTGCTATGGAGCAAGCATCTCCGTTTTTGTGCGTCTGGTGGTATCTTCGGCTTGAAAGAAATAGGAAATCATTTGAAGGAAAGGAGAATCCTATTGGGTCACTGAAATTCTCTATTCTAACTACCCTTTTTTTGTTGGGTTCTAGGGAAAAATTATAAATCCTTGAGGAACTTATTGATCTTTTGGAATCTTTGAGGGTCTAGAGGCCCTATTTGGCCTTGTGTAACTTATGAGGGATGCGTCTTTAAAACGCTTTTAATACAATACTTGTCAAAAAACAAAAAAAGCATCTCAGTGCTATGGAGAACCCTTAGAAGCCCGTTTGTTTCTTTCACGTCATCAAATACAAAGCCACCAATAGCAGTATTCGTAGTTGCACTACAGATACAAAATTCAATTTTATACACTCATTGAGATGACGGTGATTCTCATAATGTGAGATGCGTCCAATTTCAGGTCAGCCCTGATTTTCATCACTTTCTCAAAAGAATAGTTTTAGAGGGGAACTTCCCTAGAGAAACTAATAAAAACCTGCCCTAACAAGACAAGTGTTCTTTTCTCCTAGCCAACCTAAGACCCAAATGGATCCTTACCGATGGATTGTCTACCCAATAAATAAAAAGAGTAGTTGATAATCCATTTATTTGACTGCACTTCTCCCTTTTTGGTTCATTTTTTTCAACCGGTTCATTTTTTTCAAAGACAATACAATAGTTTTTAAATGGGTTTCTATTTTTCTCAAAATAAATTATTTTGTTTTATCTTGTTTACTTTCAGGGTGTTCCCAAAAAAACTCCATCCAAAAGGGTCCCAAGTTCCCCCTCTTATGTGCTGCTTCAATTTTCATGTTGTGAAGAAATGAAACTAAATTCAACTCCACCATTATGCTTAAAACCAGAACTTAGGCTCAGTTTAGCAAAAAAATTTACTTCTCAAGTCCTGCGTAATGGAAAATTAGTACTGGGTTTTCATCTCTTCTCTTCTTTATCACTTTCCCAGCAACCAAACATTAAAAGAAAAAAAATACTATTTCTGTTAAGCTATTGTCAATCGTACATAGATGTAAACAAATACATATATATATATATATATATAGATGCATCTATGTATTGAAAAACTAATAGAGGAAGAGGTGACCTGAATTGTCGAGAAATGGCTGGACTTCATCTCGGAATACCCGAACCCGCTTCTTGGTAGATGAAACTGTGATCGACCCGGTAACAGAAACCAACGACTCGATCGAATCCGCCATGGATACTGAACAGAGAAATCCGATTCAGAGAGTGTTGACGATGATGCTGGATTTGAGGGGGACTTAGATGAAAGGTATTGGCGTATATTTGTGCCTCTTTCACAAATTCTGAGGAATGGTGTGGACCAAAAGACTGTGACTATAGACGGCTTCTTCTGATATTAGGGTTTCTGGAGCTGTCTAAGAGAGAGAGAGCGAAAAACGTGCTTGTTAAAAGTAGGGCGAAGCGATCATGATGTAGTAGTAGCAGTAGGGTGGAGCTCAAGTGTAACTGTAACCGTATCCATATTCGGACCCGCTAATCCGTCACACTGTTTTCCAATTTTTTTTTAAATTTTCTTTTTTAACAAAAAAAAAACGACAATCCAACTTTGTGACTTGGAACTTTTGGTGTAGGTAAACTTAGTACATGTACATTCACATGCAAATTACACGCATTAAAAATAGGGTATTTTTACTCTTGTGATAATCTAGGATCCGCCAGACTAGACCCCTTAATAATTACCAATGTTTTTGTTTATTCTGTTATATTTCTACATATTCTGTTATATTCTGTTAAAGTTATAAAACTTTCATTATTTTCAAATTTTGATCATAAAATTTCAACATATTTCTAAAAATTACTATACACTTTTAAAAAGTTATTACATTACCTGATATCAGTATCCGACCTGTTAATCAGGTTATGAAATGATAAATTTAACCTTACTATTTAATGTTAAATTAAAAACTAAAAATTATTTTTAAAATTACAAAAATACCCTTTAACCTTCTTCTTCAACCCCCTCTCAAACATAATTTTTGTAATTTTAAAGGATATTTTTATAATTTAAAAAAATAATTTTTAGTTTTTAATTTAACATTAAATAGTAAGGTTAAACTTTGTCATTTCATAGCCCAATTAAAGGGTTGGATATGGATATCGGGGCTAAAGTGTAGGAATTTTCTGAAACAGGTTGGAATTTTATAATCAAAATTTGAAAGCAATGGCCCTATTTTTTAAGTTAACTAATAATATTTTCTGCTTTTGATTTAAAAACAAGCTTATCAAATAATATTTCTATTTATTGATAAACAACAATGTGACATAAACACGCTTTTATTGTTTAAGCTTAGATGATAAATAAGAAAATTGGCACAAATAATTTTGTTCTTGGGTTTTTATACTTTTTTTCTTTCAATGCACGTGAGAGAGAGAATGCTTATGAAACCAAATGGAGAGACTGAATACTTGAAGAGAGAAAAAAATATAAAGAAAAGTAACCGATTTTGATCATGAGTAAGCACAGACTCATGCTATACTAGGGGAGCAATCCCCCCTCTCATTTTTGTCATTTTGATATATCTACTTATGAAATATTATCACAGCCCCCCCCCCCCCCCCCCTTCCAAAATTACTTAATGCGACCCCCCCTTCCCCACATGAGTTTCTAGGTCCGTCCCTGGTAAGTGATGTAATTTCATAGAATGTAACCGATTTTTATCACATAAAAATATGAGAGCATACCTTCAAACATATCAAAGGAAATGAAAATGTCTACTTTCAATAATAGAAAACAAGTCATGAAAACACATAAAAAGAAAAAACTAAGTAACATAAACATTAAATTGCGTAAATAATAGATAAGTCATGAAGTTAAAGCCCAGTCATGAAAAGACAAACACAAGAAATCAATCGTGCCACCTAAAGGGAAAAACTTTTAGAACCATTGTAAACAACTGCATTCCTATCAAACCAGATTCTCCATTAACCAGTTAGGAGGATGCTTCTGAAGAATGAAGACCTGATGAAGCCAGTGATGGAGGCAATGAAGGGCAGGGAGGGTGTGGCAAGTGCCCCTTCTGATTTTTTTTTTTTTTTTTTCCTTTACTATTGTATGTATACTTTTTTAAAAATATACATGGTGCCCCCTTGAAATTTGTTTTTACCCATTAAATTACTGATCGAGAAAGGGTTTTGATACACCTTCACCTACACAATCAAAACAATTTTATAAAAAATAAAATATTCACCGTGAGACTCTATCAAAACCCTTTGATTTACCATTTTCCTCGTTCGTCACTCTCTACTTCTCTGTTATACAAGACTGCACCACCGGCCGAAAGACAACAGTGACTCTTTGGGAGGCTTCTCATCGATGACCCATAACACAGGTACCTAGTACGGCAGTACCCCCTTATATCTTTTCTTCAATATTTTCTTTTTATTTTTCTTTCTTCTTCCATGCTTCTTCAAATAAAAAAACCCTATCACCTTGGGGAGCAGATCTGCCATTACCTTTTGGGATTGGGCGGATTGACTATGAGAAAAACATTCCACACTGACACGGATACACATAAAAAAAACCCTTCCAAAAATAAATAAATAAACCCTAAAGTTTTTCCTTTCAAAAATTCATTTCATGGTTTCCTTCCTTTTATTATATATTCCGTTTTTCCTTTAAAGTTACTTTTTTTTGTTTTTCCCCTAATCCCACATTTAACACCCAACGATGGCCAGTTCCCAATGGGCTATCACAATTTTTCTATGTTCCCCAATAAATATATCACAATAATTTAATAGTAATTTTTTTTTCAAATATTCGTGTGATTTAATAACTTAAATTATAATCTTAAATAAATAAGAGGAATACAAATTTTATTGATATGATGTTATTATTAGCTGAATTTTGTTTTGTAACTAACATATTGTTATAAGTTTTTTTTTTTTTTGCCCAATAAATGGCATGGAATTTTCTTTAGCACATAAACCTTTAAATTATTCTATTTGTTTGTCTCATTGTCTCATATTAGATTAAATATTTGAATTCAGAATTTCAGAGGAATTTATTAACTTTGCTATATATGCAAATTTTTATTTTGTTTTTTTAAAAATTAAGTATAGTCTAATTGCTAGTTACAGTTAGCCACACAATGTTTTTACGTGTCTCTAAGTTAGGTTTTGTATTCTAATTTGCAGGTTATTGAGCTCATCAGCTCACTCTTTTTCTCTTCACATTCATTCCTATAGAACAATTGTAGGTTTCCTACTCCAAAAGTGTAGGACTTTGGCTTCAAAAAGGTACACCTTACTGACTTAATTTCTCTCTCTCTCTCTCTTTTTTTTATCTATTTTGACTTCTTCATTATTCACATTTTTTTTTTTTTTTTTTTACCAATGTTATGCACTTTAATGACTTGATAACAAGTGTCTAACTTATTATTTAATTATATTGCAAACTTTATTTATAATTAACTGGGATTCTTAATTTGATAAAAAAATAAAAGATAAATTTTGTTAATTTAATTTACAATATTAAGTGATTGTATTATTAAGACGCAAAGTCTATTCAAATTAAATTTGTTTATAAATAAGTCTATTTTTGAAATAGATATGGATTTAAGAAATTTGGGATCGATAGCCCCCGTGCCCCCAATAGAGAGAACTGATAAGAGTTCAAAGCGAAGACGTTCTGAAATCAACTTGGAAGATTTTCCCACAGATCTTGGACTATAACCTCGAATCATGGATTATAATCCTAATGACCGAGACCAAATTCGTACAGCATATGTACAAAAGCGTAATTGTTAACCTCGAAATCATACTTTCCCCTTTAAAAGTTTCGGCAAAAAGTTACGGTCTTTTAACACTGCTTGGTTTAATAAATTTTCTAATTGGCTAGAATATAGCATAGTCAAAGATGCCGCATTTTGTCTATGTTATTACCTTTTCATGCCATAAATTGGAGAACAAGCATGCAGTAGCTCCTTTGTTTGTGAGGGGTTTTCAAATTGGAAAAAGAAAGAAAAATTCCAAATTCCTGTTGGAGGCCTCGGTAGTGCCCATAACTGAGCTTTGAGATCGTATCAAACTTTGATGAACTAAAAGCAGCACATTCAAACAAGTTTCTCCAAGCAGTCGGACCAAGCTCGAAGTGAATATCAAACTCATTTGAATGCATCAATTGAATGTATCAGATAACTTTTACAACAAAGACTTAAATTTCATGGCAATGATGAATCTGAGGATTCAAAGAATCAAGGGAATTTTCTAGAACTTCTAAAATTTCATGCATGTCACAATGAAAATGTTAAGAGCCGTTGTATTAGAAAATGTTCCTATAAATCTGAAATTAACATCGCCCAATATTCAAAAAGACATTATTAATGTTGCTGCAATAGAGATCATCAATTTTTATTGTCAAAGATATTGAAGATGCATTTTTTCTCTATTTTAGTTGATGAATCTCGGGACATATCGATAAAGGAGTAATGGCTATTGTTTTACGTTATATGAAGAATGAAAGTATTATCGAGCGTTTTATTGTTATAATACATGTTATAGATACAACTGCTCTTTCACTTAAGACATCCATTGGTAATTTATTTTCTAGACATGGATTGAGCATTTTTAGACTGCGCGTGCAATGTTATGATGGGCTAGCAATATGCAAAGCAAGTTTAATGATCTCAAAGTGCTTATTCTAAAAGAAAATGAATTTGTTTTTTATATTCATTGTTTTGCTCACTAACTTCAGTTAGCTCTTATGGGTGTGGTAAAGAAACATTCTCATATTTCAACTATGTACACGTTACTTGGTAATGTGGTGAATGTAGTTGGAGCCTTATGTAAACATCTTGATATGCTTCGAGAGAAACAAATTGCTAAAGTTATTGAGGTAATTAACAAAGACGAACTTTCAAGTAGGCAAAGCCTAAATCGGAGCATTTCCCTTATACGTCCTGGAGACACTCGTTGGGGTTCACATTGTGGTACTTTAATTAGCTTGATTACGATGTTTCCATCTGTAATTGATGTTTTTGAGAATACCGAAGTTAAGCAAATATTCTGCTTGAGTCAATGCAATGCTTTAGTTTCGTATTTAATATCCATTTAATGAAGATAATATTGGAAATTGGTAATGAATTATCAAAAGTACCGCAAAGGAAAGATTAAGATATTGTGAATGTTGTGTCCTTAGTTAAAGTATGTAAACAACGATTACAAATTATGAGGGAGGATTGATGGAATTCTTTACTTGATCAAGTTTCTTCCTTTTGTAAAAGACATCAGATTGATGTTCCCAACATAGATGATATGTTCATAGCTTGAGGAAGATCATGCCATAAAGTTCAAGAAATAACAAACTTGCATCACTATTGTGTTGATTTGTTTTATTCTGTTATAGACTTGCAACTTCAAGAGCTAAATGGTCGTTTAAATGAGGCAAATATTGAGTTA